ACACTGTCCGATAAAATGGAATTAGATATATTGAATGACTAAAATAAATACTTGTAAACATAATTGATATAGAAATAAAGTTCTAATGATGGAATAGACGAATTGGATTCTCAACGTAAACTAAATCAAATGAGTCGGCTGCGCTGAATACAGCTTTATCCATAACGGAACCAGCTGGTGCAGTAATGTACTTAACACCAGATCTAACTGCTCTATAAACGTTATCTGGGAATGGGAAAAATGCATCGGAAGATAAGGAAACATCAGTTAATTGTTCAATCCATTGCTTTCTTTCTTCACTAGTTAATGGAACTGGGATTTTAGCAAATTTAGATTCATATTCAGACTTTTCTGGTTCTGAAGTTGGGATTTGATCAGTAACATATAGGTCAATGGCATTCGATTTTTCTGGTCTCTTTGTACCTTTGGCCCATTCGAATGCCAAAACTCTTGGATGTTGTCTCAACCACCAGTTATCAGCCTTATCACCAGCAAGTCTGGTACAATGAATCCTTGATTGTTGACCAGCACCAATACCAACTACCATACCATTCTTTGCATAGCAAACAGAGTTTGATTGAGTATATTTCAAAGCAATTGTAGAGACTGTTAAATCGATAATAGCTTGTTCAGTTAAGTTTTTGTTCTTTGAAACAATTTCTTTAAATGTTCTCTTGTTAATAATTGCGTCATTTCTCTTTTGTTGTAAGTTAACACCATAAACTGTTCTAGTTTCTACTAGTTCAGGTTCGTAGTTTGGATCGACTTGTAAAATACAGTATTTACCGCCTTTCTTCTTCTTTAAGATATCTAAAGCCTCGGCTTCAAAACCTGGGGCAATAATACCATCGGAAACCTCTTTTGAAATTATTTGAGCAGTTGGAACATCTACAATGTTAGATAATGCAATCCAATCACCGAATGAGGACATTCTATCAGCACCACGGGCTCTAGCATAGGCACATGCCAATGGAGATAGGTTTTCAATATCAGAAACGAAGTAAATTTGCTTTTCGACGTCAGTCAATGGAATACCAACAGCAGCACCAGCTGGGGAAACATGCTTGAAAGAAGCCGCGGCCGGTAGGTTCAAAGAAGCAGACAATTCTTTAACTAATGGCCAAGAGTTCAAAGCATCTAACAAGTTGATATAACCTGGGGAACCAGATAAGACTTTGAATGGTAATTCTTCAATCTTGTCAACGTAAGCTTGTGCTGGTTTTTGATGTGGGTTAGCACCGTAACGTAGAGGTAGTTGAGCTTTATCTTCAGAATACTGTTTTCTGAAGAAATCAGAAATAGCAGAATCATAATCAGCAGTATGTTCAAAAGCTTTCAAAGCTAAGTTATTTCTTAATTCTGAGGAGATTTCACATTTAGCATTCAACTCACTCAAAAATTGTGGGTAGTCCTTTGGATCAGATAAAATAGTGACTCTGGAATGATTTTTAGCGGCAGCTCTTAATAAAGTAACACCACCAATATCTATCTCCTCGACAGCCTCTTCAACGGTGACCCCGATTTTAGCAACAGTTTCTTTGAAAGGGTATAGATTACAAACAACAAAATCAATCTTCCCAATTTTTTGTTCTTTTAAATCTTCTTCATCAGTATCTAAATTTCTAGCTAAGATACCACCATGAACAGCAGGATGCAAAGTTTTGACTCTACCACCTAACATTTCAGGGGCATGAGTAACAGCAGAAACATCTTCAACTGGGAAACCAGCTTCACGAACCAAACGAGCAGTACCACCAGAGGCTAAGATACGAACATTATGTTCAATCAATCCCTTGACTAAATCAAGCAAACCTGTTTTATCGTAGACTGATAAAATAGCAGTCTTATCAAATGAATCCATTATAATGATTGTGATAGTGTAACGTAGTGAAATGATCAATGATCAATGATATCTTGTTAATTAATAAATGAAGATTAAATTGACTTTAAACTAAATTTAACCTTTATATTATATATATAAACTCAATAAACTTAAATTGTAACAAAAGTTTTACTTAACCACTATATATATATATATTAATCTGAAGTGGATTAAATAGTGAAATATTTTAAATTTGCAATTATTATTGCTAATTAAACTTGTTGAGCGATATTGACTTTAATTAGAAAATACCTTAATATTACTTATTAGTGTTAGCATTTAGTATTAGGTCAAACCAAGATAAGAATCAAAAATTTAAAGAGATGAAAAAATAATGAAACACTGGTATCTAAAAGCACCATCCGGAATGGTATGCTATGATTGATTTAATTGAATTAATTGAATTAATTGTATTACATTAAGTTAACTCCCCCCTCATTCAGTTATGGCTTTCTGTGTGACTTTTTTAAAGTTTTGAAGTGATGTAACGCCATTAATCGATTAATATTGACTTGGTTGATAAAAGAGACTCCGGCTGTGAATAAGATGATTCTTGTTTCCATTTTTATAGGAAAAACGAATAAAAAAACTGGACAAACAAGAGTCAAATAATGGCGAATGTAGAAATCAACGAGTAGATACGTTTAGACTAGAGTTTGACACTTGTTGCTGCAAGATGATGATGATGACGATTGGAGTTCTTTATATTTTTTTTTTGATGGTTATAATGATCAATCAATCTTTGGATGAAAAAAAAAGGTTATTGGATTATGAAGTTGAATACGTAAATAATAAAAAATATATAGAGTATAGAATCTTTAAAATTAACAACCAGATTATTTTCTGTATCTCCATAGAGACAAAGTGTTTTGTCTCTTCCAGGTCTTTCTTCTACCGGCTTGAGTGTTGTGGTATCTGTGACCCTTGTTGATACCTCTGGATTTCTTACCAGTGGCAGTCAAACCTCTAGCTTCACGGTGCTTGTGAACTGGGTTACAGATCCAGTTGTAACGAGCATCTCTTCTGATAGCCTTGTGAGATGGGTCGATCAAGATGACTTCAAAGTATTTGTAAGTAGAATCTTGGTTGATCCAGTAAGAGTTCAAGACTCTCAAGTTAGCGGCACGGCGACCAACTCTTTCTTCAGCGGTAGCTCTCAATGATCTTTGGTATTTCAATTCGTTAACACCTTCATTGGTTGGCTTACCGTAGGTAGCACCCTTTGGAACTGGTCTCTTTCTGTTACCACGTCTAACTCTGACACGGTAAATGACGAAACCTTGCTTAGCCTTGTAACCTAATCTTCTAGCCTTGTCTGGTCTAGATGGTCTGGTAGCTCTGTGAATGACATTCTTTTGTCTGTATTCCCAGACTCTGATTCTTTGCAAGAATCTCATAACATCAGATTGCTTTTTTCTTTGCAATTCTTCCAAATATTTGTAGGCACCCATTTTTGATAAAGTAAAAGTTTGGTGGTTTTTTGGAAAATAGAATATAATAAAATATAACCAACAAAGAAAGTAACTGAGTTGAAATAACAAGATAACAAGAAAGTTGAACTTGTAAAATAGTAATACCAACACTTCAAGAACCAACAACTTTATATATAAAACATATATTATATATAATATCAAGAAAATATTAACCAGTGAGAAGAAGACAACGAAAATTTTTCAAAATTTTTCAAAAACAATGAAAAATTTCTTAGTGAAAAGCCCATGGGGGCCATTCCATTAGGTTGTCTCGCCATTTGATTCTGATTCTGATTCCATCGCAGAAAGTCTACAAGCAATTGGGCTAACTAGTTAGTTCGTATTACGATATGATCAGATACAGTCCCAACTGCAATTGCAATTGCAGTTGGGACTGGCAAAATCACTGTATTTCGTAGAGCTGGCTAGCTAAGACTTATCCCCATTTCCTACCTCATCGAATAATTTTTCAAATTTGAATGAAATTTGTTGAGAAGAGTGGGATTATGTTTTTGCGTCTCCTGTTCTCAGAGTTTCACCCAAGTGCATTCCCACAATTTCACATAAACCCAGGGTAACCTTTCGTAGATGGTTGTCTTTTTTCTTTTTTTCGAATTTCGAATTTCGAATTTCGAATTTCGAAGAGGTTACCCTGCACTCAGAATCCAAATCAGTCCTTATTCTGTCTCTGCCCGCTCCCATTCCAAACTAGATTTAGTCTGGATTACTGACTAGTCAACGAACCACATACGTATATATAGAGATAGATTGATGAATGGGGATGGCACTGGGGATAATTAGGAGTTATCGTGAGGTGTGTCGCTTTTTTTGTTTTGATTCTTATTTATTTATTTATATATATAAATATAAATATAAATATATAGAAAGGTACTTCTTCATAGCAGCTACCACTGCAATGCTATTAGTTGTTCTCCATCTGAAATGAAGCAATTGGATTTGGATTGTCACATGTAAAGAAAGACTCTCCTCTATCTAACATCTGTTTGATCAGACTATATGTGCAAACAGTAAACACATGATCAAGAATAGCTGCTTATTTTAATGTACTCTCTCTCTCTCTCTCTCTCTCTTGTTGTATAAGCTGATAACATGCGCAATAGGAAACATTTAGATGCGTTTCCAGGCACATTGTCTCCTGTAGAACCTACATTGCATTTATAAAACAAGCTCTCTATTTGTCTCTCTCATCATAACCCATCCCACTCCCTACCTAATTGGGTAAGTAACCAGTTAAATCAACAACATATAGTTTCGTCAAACACACCTTATCTCTCTCTGTATGTAAATGTTTCTTTATTTATTGTTACATATATCCCTCATTTCTCCGTGTGCTTCTCTTCTCTTGCTGCCTTAACTTGAAGGCATCGAAACGAAATGTGAATTGGAAAGTTTCGATTTCGATTTCGATTTAGAGATATTGATTTAGAGATATTGATTTCGAGTTCGAGTTCGAGTTCGAGTTCGAGTTCGAATTAATCAACCTTATTGCCAGTGTTCGATCCGATCAACAGGAAGGTTTTACTAGGATCTTTAGGTTACAAGATATTTTAAAGGTGTATATTGAGATCGGTTTTTTTCCTACATTTGTTTCACTAATTGGTTTATTTAAGGATACGTTAAAGGATTACTTAGAATTACTACTACTACTATTATTATTATTATTATTATTATTATAATTTTTCAAAGATTCATAAAAGGGCCAGAAATATTTTTAGTCTCTTGAATTGTATATTTAATAAAGGAAAAAGTTGAAATAGACATATCTATAGTTGAGTTACCCTTTGTAAATAAACATGAATGGGCAATATAATGATAACCCAATGGCCAATAGGCAATCAATGCCTCCAACAAGTAACTTCCAAATGAGAAACCAGCTTTTACAAAATGATTTAGGTACCATAGATATAAGAGATGAAACACCTATTTATAATAACGGTAATCATAATAACAATAATAATAATAATAATAATAATAACACCAACAATGGTAACGTTAATAATAGATTTTCTCAACCTGTTTTCCGACAACCAACTTCTCCCCAAATGTCTGGCTATCCCATGCAGCAAGGCTTTAATCAACAATACCAGAATAATTACAGCAATATAAGTTTAAACAATTCAAGAGGTTCAAATTCAACACCAACTAAAAACTCTAATACTCCAAAATCAAATAAACAGAAAGGTTTTTCAAATTTCTTTAAACATAAAGGTGGTTTTGGAAAATCAAATGGAAATGCCAAAGGTAGAGATCCAGATGATGATGACGATGTAGTTATCGATGATACTCAATCAGCATTGACATTTAATGATATCCCATCTATTAGTCATAGAGATGATAAATTTAATCATTCAACGTCAATAAATCCAATTATTCCGACTCTGATAACAAAACCTCATGAAAATATGAGTAACACAGAATACAGAAAACATATGACATTACAAAAGAAAATGGCTTATAACGCTGCAAGTCGAAACCAACAAAGCAGCCCCCAACTACCGCCAACATCACCTTCCCTGCAGCAAGGAATGCCAAGAGCAATGTCGTTACAGAGTTTCGGCAATTCAAATCCTTATCAACAACAGCAACAGCAGAGACAGCAAATGCAGATGGGTGGTAGTCCATTGAACAATCAAATGAGTCCTAATAGCTTTAATGATTTGAGGAACCCAAATTCTCCAATTCCACAAAATGGATTGCAACAAAGATTTGGTCCGAATCAAATCCCTGTTTCTTCCGAACAACCGTATCCACAAGGTTTTAACAACAATAACAGTAGTCCTAATTCAAATCCTAATAACTATCCAAGAGCAATGTCTTTGCAAGGTGCTCCACCACTACGACAAAATTTAGGATCACCTATGATGCAGCAAGGAAGGGCGTTTAATGGTAAACCAAATAATATAACACCTGTCAACTCTCAAGGTATGTCGCATGGAAACCCATTGGGCAATCATAGCAACGAATCTAATGAGCTTAAAAATTTCAATTCAGATTCATCTTTTACTTCAACTTCAGATTCGATTGTAACAAAATCAGTTGGTAATGACAACTTATCCATGACTTCAGATGGTATACCAACTAAACGAGGATCACCTTTAAAAAGTCATATAATTTCTCCATTGAGGAAAGACGAGACTGCTTCTGAGGAAGCAACTGATAAATCAGATGAGTTAGTGGCTAAAAGATTACAACTTGAAGAGAAGGAAAAACAATTGAAAGAACTTGAAGTAAACATGATTCGTCTAGAGCTGGAAGAAAAGGAAAAATACTTGAAAGAAAAAGAAGAGGAATTGAATAATAAGTTACATAAATTTAACTCCTCATCAAAGACTGAACCAAAGTTATCCTCAGAAAATGCAGCTCCAGAGGAAACGACAGATGCAGAATACTTAGATCAAAGATATAATGAAGATACTAATGGCGATGATATTCATGTGAAAGTAGCTAAAGGAATGGTTACTAAAGTTGATACACCTATACAAAGAGAAAGAAATACTGGCGTCGAAAGTATCGCATCACAACAAATCGATGATTCCTTCAATGACACTTCCAGTAATTTTATCAAGGATACTAAGACCAGTAATAATCCTTTTTTCTCAGATATTGGTACCACTTTGAATAAATCAGACTCTATATCAGCTGCGCCATCATTGGGTGAATACCCTAATGATTCAAGTTCTATTGTAAGTAGCCTAGTAGATATTGATGGAGCAAACAATGATGTCGTGGGGACAATAAATATTGAAAATAATGCAAACGATCATAATAATAATGTTGATGATAATAATGATAATGATAATAATGACGAAGACGTTTTTGAATTTGATAGTTCCATCAGTAAACCATACGAGCCTGTCTATGCTAATGCAGATGAGGTTGTCGAGGTTAATAAATTCCAGACTATAACAATAACTAATGAACAATTACATTTACTGACAGAAAATAAGGAGTTGATGAACGAAGTAGTATTGGTTTCTACTGAATTAGCAGAATCTATTAAACGTGAAACATATCTAGAAGAGAAAATAAAATTACTTGAAGAAGGTAGAAGAACCAAAGAAGAGGAAGATAAATCATTGGAATATTTTGAAATTGAGTTAAGAAAAAAGTCTGAAAAAATAGTTGAATTAATTCAACAACTTAATGATGAAAGATTGAGAAGGTTTATAGCTGAAGAGCAAGTTCTATTAAACGATAATGGAGTTAAGCCTAGCTCAGCAGAACTTGTAAATAAAATATACAAATTGAATTCGAGAGTAAAAGAACTTGAATCAAGAAATTAATTAAGTATATGTATACTAAATAAAGTACGTTATGATTGAATGAAACTTAAATCTATTTCATATAATATCGTTAATTATTATTCTCGATGACACTTTAAAAGGAAGGTAGCCATGGAGATAAAATGGATCTATCATATTTACAGAAATAAAAACTTAAACAAATAGTTACAAGTAAAATAATCTACTTAATATACCATATGCTTGGCATAATACATCCTTCAAATAATTATAAACATAAATTAATTTTACTGCAAGATATCTTCCTTTTTTTAGTCATGTTAATAAGACTAATAAAAAACTCACGTACTTAACCAAATTAGAGCTATCTCAACAACATACTACACACAGAAGATATATATGTATTTAAATCTAAATTTCCAATCAACCACTAACTAAACAAACTAAGGTTTATTCATATCTCATTATTAGCTCTGTTTAATAATCCTCTTCCTCTTGTATTTGTCTGAATCATCCAGTATCTATCTATCAAGGAATAATTTTTCAATATTTTTTCACTCTGAATGATTAGCTAGTTTAACTCGAAATCCTTTAATTTATCATACATTGCCAAATATATAAATGAGTAATGAATTGAATTTGTATTTTTGTTTAAAGGTTATTGGATTCTAAATATTAGCTTTTACTTTTCTAAATTATTCAATGGAGAGTTTCACATAGATATGTCTACAATGTCCAAGACTATTTTAAATAATATTGAATTACTACCTGCTGATGCTTTATTTGGTATTAAGCAAAGGTTTTCTCAGGATAATAGGGAACCAAAAGTTGATTTAGGTATTGGTGCCTATAGGGATAATACTGGTAAGCCATGGGTTTTACCAAGTGTTAAAGCTGCTGAAAAATTGATTCAAGAAGATCCTACTTATAATCATGAATATTTAAGCATTTCAGGTTTACCACAATTAACTAGTGGTGCTTCCAAGATTATGTTTGGCGAAGATTCTACTGCTGCTAAAGAAAAGAGAATTATTTCTGTTCAATCATTATCAGGCACAGGTGCTTTACACATTGCTGCTAAATTCTTTTCATTATTTTTTAAAGAGAAGTTAGTTTACTTGTCAACTCCTACTTGGCCAAATCATAAAAATGTTTTTGAAACTCAAGGTTTGAAAACTTCAGCTTATCCTTATTGGAATGATGCTGACAAGAGTTTAGATTTGGAAGGATTTGTTCGTAGCATTAAAGATGCACCAAGTGGTTCTATCTTTTTATTACATGCATGTGCTCATAACCCAACTGGTTTAGATCCAACAAAGGAACAATGGGGTACCATCTTGGATGAAATTGCTAAGAAGGGCCACATTGCACTATTTGATTCTGCTTATCAAGGGTTTGCCTCCGGTGACTTGGACAATGATGCGTTTGCAGTGCGTTTAGGTGTTGAGAAATTATCTGAAGTTTCACCAATTTTTATCTGTCAATCTTTTGCTAAGAACGTTGGTATGTACGGTGAAAGAGTTGGTTGTTTCCATTTGATTGTACCAAGACAGGAACCATCCGTTGATGTCGACTCTATTAAGAAAGCTATTAATTCTCAATTAGCTAAAATAGTTCGTAGTGAAGTATCCACCCCTGCAGCATACGGTGCTAAGATTGTTGCCAAGATATTAAATGAACCAAGTTTGACTCAACAATGGCACAAAGATATGGTTACTATGTCATCTAGAATCACCAAGATGAGACATTCTTTGAGAGATCACCTTGTTGCATTAGGTACTCCAGGTAATTGGGATCATATTGTTAATCAATGTGGTATGTTTTCATACACTGGTTTAACCGCAGAAATGGTCGCAAGATTAGAGAGTAACCATGCAGTATACCTAGTTTCATCAGGTAGAGCCTCAATTGCTGGTTTGAACGATGGTAACGTCGAATATGTAGCAAAGGCTATTGATGAAGTTGTTCGTTATTTTCAAACTTCTAAATTGTGAGAAGCAATTATTAGAATAATTTTGAAAATCAATTTGAAACAAGTAGGAACTTTTTATGTTATATATAAATAAGAATGATTAATTTTAATAATATCCATATGAACATTTTTATCATATACATACATTTACTATATTTGGTGTCACTCCAGATTCTTTGATTGATAAATCAATTAATTTGTGCATATTTCTTCTCCCATATAAAGTGCCAGTAATCAATTATATCATACATAATAATTATGCGCATACGGCTACTATATGATACTAGATTGAAGAGGAAATGGGGAATGAGCAAAATGGCAGATATCTCCCTCCCTTCCTTCTCTCCCTTCTCTCCCCTTTCCCCAGAATTACAGACTCTACATTGTCACGTTCCTGTCACCTGACCAACTTCCATTTGCATTCCTAAGTGACTGTTCGTTTCATATCCACACATCCGTGCACCCACATCATGCATTAATTTATTCCTTCATTTTCTCCCCGTTATAGACAACAACTGCCTTTTTTTTTTTGTCCATAAAATAAAACCGAGAAAAAATAAATAAATACATAAATGCAGATTCATCTTTCTAAGAAACACGCCTAGAGATCATGATAAAAAACAGTGAAACAAAAATCAAAACCAAAATCAACAAGCAAACCGACGCAATGAAACAAATTCACTCTTGTGTTTTTTTTCAGTAAAATTTCACTTTTTGTTCACACAAACAGTACAGCACAGCAAGCAGTACTGCTAATGAATAGATAGTATGTGATGAATTGTAACAACCAACTAACTGTACCTGCACTGACTTTCTAAGATATGTAATGCAATGAGTATTGGAAAGCTACAATTATCTATCATCTGTTGTCATTGTTCGTAAAATATCAATCAGAGAGAGAGTTTATAGTTTGATAGATGGATGGGATTGGAATGTATTGCAATTTGAATTGAATGATGATGGATGGAATTGAGATGACCATGACCTTTCAATCAATGGTTTACTGTATAGTGTAGATTTGAATATTGCAATTTGATTAAAAATGAAATGATATATAAGAATCATACTATTTGTCAAGTGGATTTTTGTTTTATCTCAGGTTTATTTCATTGATTAAAGATAACCAATACACAAATATATCGCCAAGATGTCTGCTAAAGCTCAAAACCCAATGCGTGAATTGAAGATCGAAAAGTTGGTCTTAAACATTTCTGTCGGTGAATCCGGTGACAGATTGACCAGAGCTTCAAAGGTCTTAGAACAATTATCTGGTCAAACTCCAGTCCACTCCAAGGCCAGATACACTGTCAGAACCTTCGGTATTAGAAGAAATGAAAAGATTGCTGTTCACGTTACCATCAGAGGTCCAAAGGCTGAAGAAATCTTGGAAAGAGGTTTGAAAGTCAAAGAATACCAATTGAGAAACAGAAACTTCTCTGCTACTGGTAACTTTGGTTTCGGTATTGACGAACATATCGATTTAGGTATCAAGTACGATCCATCTATTGGTATTTTCGGTATGGATTTCTACGTCGTTATGGGTAGACCAGGTGCTAGAGTCGCCAGAAGAAAGAGATGTAAGGGTACCGTCGGTAACTCTCACAAAACTTCCAAGGAAGACACTATCTCTTGGTTCAAGCAAAGATACGATGCTGAAGTTATGGACAAATAAGTGTTGTAACATCGATTTTAATATAAATAAATATACCATTGCACTTTAAACCGTGTTTATTCTTATTTTAAAAATAAATTCATTAAATTTAGATATAATTAAATCAATATTATTTATATAATTAATTTTTGTTATAATATTATACGCTTCATACTCATTCATTAAAAAAGGATACCATATAAAATTTATCTAATTATTGATATTCTTATATTTTATTTTAAATTATTGCGTAAACTGTCATGCCAATCTGTTGTCATCATCTTTTCTGCATTCGCAAACTTATTCTGTGACTGTTCACGGTATTTGTTAATTTGTTCAATTTCTTTAATTTGTTTCTCTATCTTCATATCCACCATTTCCAACCCATTACTGACATAATCGTTATTAATTGCCCATTGATTTAAAATTGTTCGTGACATTAATTCATCCAGCGTCAGTTCTTGGTGTCGCAGGTAGGAAAGTATTATTTCATATTTATCCATATCATGAATAGATCCCTCTAGTGAATATCTAGAGTCATCAATCCCTTGTGTCGTTGTATTCTTTGCTTGTTTGCTCTTTTGATAACCAATGTCAACATCTGTATCACGTGACCCACGTTTACGACTATTAGTTTCATTATATACATCACTCTTGTGTAGCAATTTTAACACATCTGGATGGACTTCCACCATTTCAAGACTACTCAAAGTCTCTTTGAACATATTTTCAGCCTGTTGTTGATAATAGACACTAACTTCATGATCAGAGAAAGGCAACGATGTCATTTTTAAAACCACGGAAATATATATTTACCAATAGTTTAACAGTAACTGAACCAAAATTTTCCAAATAAATTACACAACCAACTCAAAATTGTACTATTAATCAGTAAACCTACTCCTGTTCCTCTTTCAAACCCTTTTATTGGCTTCTTTGCTAAACCAAACTATTTCAATATTGGTTTCTAATTTTTCACATTTAAATTTTATTCAAAAATATCTTTAACAATTTAAAAAAGTGAAAAACTATCACCAAAACTATAGTCAAGATCTAGACAAAAGCTACAAGAATAGTGTATAAGAAGAGAGCTAGGGTTCTATTGACGGTGCATTTAGTGATAAGTTATCATTAAATTATATTACTTTGTATTCGTTAAGCTTTTGAAGGTGATCAATTCTTTTTGATTCAGGATGTCAAGTTTGAGAGCTTTGTCATTTAAGAGATTCTCTTCATCATTATCTCCAAAACAGCAATTGGATGAATTCCTTTTGTATAATAAGACTCCAGTAAAGAACAGACCGTGGATTTATCGTCGTAAGAATGCTAATGTGTTGCTAGCCTTAGATTTGAAAGATCCAGATACTGGGAAGGCAGTCAAACCTCGTAAACCATTTCAAATTATTGGTAGAGATGTTTTGAATCAATACATGAACACAATAAAACCACATTCTGGAGAGCTATTAAATTGGTTTAGAGATTGGACTAGTTTAACTACAAGAAGGGCTCCAGTTTGGATGTATATTAACAATAAGTTATTACAAAATATGCTAATTGCTTCATTTTTTGAACTTGGTTCTTATACTCACCTAGTAAGTGCTCTTTATTCCAAGAAAAGTTCATTTATCGAAGCTGGTAATTCAAAATCGTTTGATCTTGAACACTTTTTCAATACAATTATCATGTGTAACATTCACAGAAATTATGTTAGAGGTTATAAAGATAGTGAACTGACAAAACGTAAGGTTATCGCGGCTTGGAAAACTTGCTCCTACAAGAAGGATGCCACTGGTATCTCCAAGATATTAGTCAACACTTTATGTAGACAACAAGGAATTCAAGATACTGATTTTATCAGAATTAGGTTTAACGACTCAATAAATTTGCCATTATTAGAAAATATTGGAGCTGCTTCACAAGAAGATTTAACTAAATTTCATTCCGATAACATTGGTAACTATTTAAGAACAAGAACCATAATGGATTTTAACGATAATGTTGATAGTAAAATTGTTGATTTTGTAAATGGGTTCAAATCTGTACAACAAAAATTAAACAAAGAAGACATTTATGATAAATACAAAGTCTCTATGACTGAAATTTGGAAACAAGAACCAAAAGAAAAAGAAGAAGCCAAGGAAGCTGAGAAGGAATCTGCAACTGAGAAGGAAACTTCTAACAAAGAATAAAGCATGTCATAAATGTCAAAAGTCATTTTTTAATATTATATTCATCCTGTACATAAAATAGAAATGTCTTCATCCGAATGATATTTATATTATACATAATATATTAAATTTAAAGGTCTAATAGATATTCAAATAATTTAATTATCAATTAAATATTTAATTGACACTAATAGTCATAAGTGAACCGTTTTATTTTCTTACTAATAAAAGTCACTTTAAAATTCTTAGTTGCGGGTTGGTTTGATATAGAACATAGTAAAAAATAATACTGAATTGGTATATAAACGATTTAAAGTTCAACTTCAATAATTATTTAAATTGATGGAATAAAAGTTATATGTTAAAGGACATAGACTATTTATCTGCAATCAATTGACCAATACGAAATGTCTCTATTTAAACCAACCTGTCATCTTTTGTTTTATTCATTTGTGTATGTGCTTTTTTTTTGGTTTGTCAGGAACCATCCCTTTAAATAATTTGATTTTAGATCAGCTTTACTAACAATTGAAGTAAGTTAAATATCTGTTAACTTCTATTGGAGATAGTTTTGGTGGAACTACATTTTACTCATATGCTGCATCACCTGTAGCATTTAAAACTTTGGAAAGAGATCAATTTTCTAAGCTTCAAAGTAAGGTTTTCCCTGGATTCTTTTTTTTACAATCTGTTTCACCATTGATATTATTATTCACATCACCAATTGCTTTAACCAAGGCTCCAATTGCTGCTTTGACTATTGCTTCAATTAGTGGTGTCACTAATTTATCATGGTTATTACCATGGACTCGTAGAATTAAGGAAGAAAGAAAGGCTTTGGCTGACAGATTAGAGGGTAAAGAATTAGAAGCATTTGATAAGGATCTACGTAAAGAATTTGGTAAAGCTCATGGCTTGAGTTTGCTTTTCAATTTCACTAATGCTCTAGGTTTATTAACTTATGGTATTTATTTGAGCAAAGGTATTTTAAGATACTTACCAAAATAATTAAATTATCCTTGAGTGAGAATAATAGGAATCTTATTAAATCGTTCTAAAGGTAACTTGTAAATACTTATATATACGTATACACAAATATACCTAGATATATATAATGTTATGTTTATTTCAATATTATTTCGAATAACTGATTATATGTTCAATGTATATATTTTATATATATATTAAATTTTAGAGATCGTAATGTCAACAACAAATAAGCACACTGGAAATGCACAACGAAACTGTCTATCTATATGTACAGAAGAGGGAAGAAAGATATGATTGGTAATGGAATTTCAATTAACATGAACAATGTAATAATAATAAAAAAGAAAGAGATAAATGGCAAAATAATTTTGTTTTATATTTTTTTTTTTGTTAAGAATCGTTAAGGTTTAAATTATTCGTCAATATCATTAACTTTAGACATTGCGGCTAATTCAGCTTCACTGACAGCAGCAGTTGGATTTTGGACACCGTTTATAATTGAGGCGATGTTAGTTGGAGGGTATACAGCAATCATCAATACGATATATTCATAAATGTTTTCTGGTACACTTCTTTGATATATGCCTAATAAATCAGCTGGGTTAGGGTATACACTTAAAGCTTTATAGAACTTACAAGCAGCTTCTAATTCTTTACCAGGAACAACAGATAAACGTTCACCCAATTCGACATTAGTGGCAAAGGAAGCTTCTCTTTGTGCTGGATCAGTAGGTAATGGATCAGTAGCCAAGTCTTTAGTTAAAGCTTCACCAACTTCTTGTAACTTCCTTTGTTTAGCTTCTTCTTCTTCCAATTTCAAAGCCTTTGCCTGTTTTTTTAATTCACGTTTTAAACCTTTTCTAAACTCTGGATTATTTCTTCTTTGGTAATCAAAATAGATAGCATAACCAGTTAGAGATAAAGCTGTTAGAGCACCGGTAACTGCTAAAACACGAGAAAAAGCACTAGATTGAGACATTATGTTATTAAATTAAATTGAAGTATTCCCTTTTGAATAATTAATATAGTTTCTCCAAGTATCTATTTTTATATTTATATTTTTTCTTTAATTCTCCACCTGAGGTTTCCCTTCTTTGCTGGTCAAACACCCCTTTGTAATGAAAACAACAACCAATTAATCAATAACAGTCACTGCTAAAGCCTTTCAATAGATTCACAACTTCCTAAAGTACCTAATCAACCCCATTCAAATCAAAAAACATATTTGATACTTCTTCAAAAGGTTAAACTTTTTTCTATGAAGTATTAAGTCAGTTCGAAAATTTTTCAGTATTTCTTCTTTAGATAATTCGTTAGATATTCGAAAGGGAAAGAAAGCCTAAGCTGCAAAAATTGAAAAATTATTCAAAAAGGCGACATGATCGTTTCGATGAGATGAGATGAGATGAGATGGGAAGAAATGGAGATAAAAGGGTAAAGATATTTGATATTTGCTAATATTATCTTCGGTTCCTTCTTATATTCATAGATATATATATATTGTGGAGAAAGTTTGGTTTATAATGGTTGCGAAGAAGAGAAATACGTTAAGAAGCAAGGCAGCAGCAGGCAGAAATGCTAAAACTTCAGTTCTTGAAGATAGTGTTTTAAATGAGTTACCACCAGACCCTAAGGCCTTTTTGCATCAACATAGGGAGTCTAAGAGGGATAAGCAGAATACCAAGCAACAATCCTTTTTGTCTCAAATTAAAAACAAGTCACTTGGATTGGATTCAAATCTAGCAGGTATCTCAAAATCTGCTGCAAGACGTAGAAAGAGAAAGATAAGAGATGATTTAAAACCAAAGATGGGCGAACTTTTGACGTCTTTGGAGAAAGAGGAGGATTTGAAAGAGTATACACAAGATCAAGATGATAGTAAAGATGCAGATGGTGACGAACAAATGGAAATATCAATAAATAATGTAACTAAGATAACAAAATCAAATAAATATGGGAAATTATCGCATGAACTACCAGGTAGTGTTAAAATAAAAAAGAACCAGCCAAGCATAAGAAATCAAAAAGGTGCCAAACAACTGGCAATTGATGAATCAAAAAGGTTTAATCAAGTTCTAACAAATCAATCATTTCAACAAAATCCATTCGGATCATTAAGAGAGATCATTAAAATGCAAAAATAATAAAAGGTTGGTGACTCTCATACTAATTAATCTTCATCATTCTAAATATAACGAAGGTAAAAGAAAACAAATTTTTTATCATCTATGTAAAATATTTTAAATAGATTTATCATAATTTCAAAATTATAATCTAAACATTATATACCTGATTACATTTTAAAAATGTCCTTCACATAATCGTTAAATGCCAGTGTCCTTAGCTTTTCTATCTCTACTACAGATGGATCCTTTTCAACCAATTCCTTGTATTTTTTTTCAAGCGACTCAAGTTGATTGTTAATGTCTGCCAATGAATAGGAATTATCATTTAAGATATCTATATTAGTTGTCCCTGTATTATCAATAATTATCTTCATCTTCTTTTTACGTAACAATATTAGTTCTTTATGGATGCGTCTTATATCGAATTTGTTGTCAATTATATCATCGATTTCTGTCTTTAACGTCACAATGTCAGTCGCTGCTTCTCTGGATAGTGACTCAATATCTACCATATCTTTCTTTATTTCGGCTTCATCATTTCTCAAAAATTCTAAAATGTTCTCAAACCATTGCACATATTCATCAACAATTCCTTCCGTATCATCTTTGCAAAAATCAATGGCCAATTTCAAATAGCCTTCTTGGTGTTTCAGTAATAAATTGTTCAAACTACAAATAATATCAAATTTCGTACAAACCCCAAGTTCCCCATGTATATTGCTGTTGATTAATTTTATTAAATCATTCATGAATTTTTCAAAAAGTTTTAGGGCAACTGCAACATTAGCAACTTTAAATACTTTCACCATTGGATCATAAATGACATTAACAAATGCTTTTAATAGCTGAGAAAGTTCAGGATCCTGCCACATTTTTCTCATCAATTTCTTATCGTGTTCTTTATAATAAAGCTGTAACAATTCCTTAACGTTTGAAAACAGTAAACTTATGGCTTTCTCAGATTCTGTAATCACACCTTCTGATCCATGCTGTATTTTCCAGTTCATGTAAGATTCAATCACTTGATCAACTATTGTTTGCGGGATATTACCTGATTCTGCATTCCTTATTAGAATAATCAATGATATTGGCATTTCCATTGCTTTAGAATCTTCCTTGATGGTTTCGATCGTTAAGTTACTTGATGCCTCAGGGTTTGCAACAAAATTCTTTAAACAATTTATTAATGCCTGTGATCCTGGACCTTCTTCCAAAATCATCTTCTCGAGTTTCTTGATTATCTTATTCTGTGCTTTTAAGTCTTCATTTAAAACAGTAGTGAACATTGTTTGAATTAAAGAGTAACCTCCAAATGGCTGTGTCAAGAATAGGTCAGTCATACCTTTCATGATGGACATTGGATTTGTTACTTTCATAATTTGCGACATCATTGTATATGGCATCAGCTTGTGCAATCTTTTAATTTGGGTATACAAACCATAACTGTTTTTATTACCTAAAAGTAAATGGTAGATGAAAGAAGCAAAAAATGTTCTAACACATTCAACAAATAGCATCAAATCTGTTGACATATCCGCTGTACCTTTTAAATTTCTGATCTCCGAAACCAATTTACCTAAGTACGATTTATCCATCAGTAATTTCTTCTTAAACGTCTTCGTAAAATCTTGAAGTTTTGCTAAGTGGTCTGCATTCGTAAATTGGTTTCTAATTTCATTCTGTAAATTTGCAATATCTTGATCCCTTCTTTTAATTATATCCTCTTTTGTAGATTCTCCTAATAATTTGACATCTTCGGTTGAATCCTTAAAGAAATTGAACATTATCTCACTAAATGCAATATCTTTATCCTCACATAAACCTCTTAGATATTGCCTCAAAGAAGTTCTGGTATTTTCCCGTGGGCAATTTAAATTGTTATTGATGCTAAATGATTCAGGTCCCTCACGTTCTGTTACGCTTTTATCTTCTTCTCCTTCTTCTTCAATTGATTTATCTAAGCTGTAATTTGATAATACATCCGATAAAGATGGGGACATTGGGATATCTTGTAAAGCAGACATTTCTGGGGGAGGTGAGTTAAGGCCGTTTATCTTCTGTTTGCGAGGCAATTTTGGAAGTCTCTTACTTGGAAAATCAGCCTTTAATGCTAAATTTAAGGCTTGGAAATCTTCATAACTTTTCTTCAAATATATTAATCTTTCATTCTCTTTTGTATTATCAATAACTTTTAATAGGAAATAATGACTTGATTTTGATTTATAGGTGACACCAGTAGTTTCAGTTGAAACCAATTTTGAAAAAAATGCAGATGATGTTGTCGTAGATGTGGTAATAGCATTTTTCATCCATTTTGGAGTGGATGGAATTCCTAATGAATAACTTGATTTTGTAGAACTAGTACTACTAGTAGAAACTACTCTTTCTTTTTTTGTTTTAATCTCAATCGTATTTTTTGAGTCCAGTATACCAATAACATTTATATCCCAACCGTTTATATAGACTGGTTCATCAGTTACCAAATACTGAATTGTATCTTGTGATGGGATACCAAAATTTTCCAATTTTGACCTTTTATGTGCGTCTTTTTCAGTCAAAAAGGCATCTTTTGCAGTACTAAAATAAGCAAGTTCATTAATTGTATTTATATGGGCATCAAATAATAAATACATCAGTTTATTTGACTTTTCTGATATTTTTTTCCTTTTCGTCAACTTCTCTCTTTCTTCACTGTCACTAAAATTTAAAGTCATAAAATGTTCATAAAATACTTGTAATTTTTGCTGCCAGAATTTGGAATCATTGATAACATCTTTTGAAAATAATGGAAATGGTATTATGAATATTCTTAAAAATGAATTTAGCAGTGGGAAAGCAGTTTCTTTAGTTGTAACCGAATTACTATTCACGGAGTTATTCTTATTATTTTTTGATGATGATGAAGATAACATTAATGTAGTAGCAAATACATTGGATGATTTCTTTTTAGCTATAGTCTTTGGATCAACATTAGCAAATGGATGCCCAAATCTTCTCAAAGCATCAACTGAATTTAATTCATTTAATTCGTGAGCCAACTGTAATTTTATTAATTGTTTCTTTAAATAATGTTCCTGAACAGGATTTATTGTAGAACTCATCTTGACGTCCTATTAATAAATTTATCTTAATTCTAAACTTAAAAATCACTAATATCTTCAACTTATTTTGTAATGATATAGGAGAATAGGGTTAAAGAAAGGTGGTTTCCTTTTAACAGCGTTCCTATTAATAAAACCTCATAAATTGGATTAGAAACACAATAGAAATATGAAAAAATTGGCAAATACAGAATTACAAACTCTTCTACAATTGATTGGTATCCTCTCTCACTCTAGTAATAGTAATAAACTCAACTTTTACCTGACCTTCCTTATATTTAATATAATTCAGAGTTGATATTTTTAGTATGGCGATTAGTTATAAACGTTTGAATTTTTCAAGTGTATATGTATATTAAAAACCGATAATAGTAAGAAGAAACCAACAAAAACAGGGCTTAAGCAGATATTAAAGGGGAGTATAAGTACTAGTCAGGTACCATTATATCAAGTTTAGAAGTTGATCGAAAGATTGTGGTGTTTGAACTCATATATGGCCAAATGCGTATTCCCTTTTCAAGATTCTTCCAAAAGCTTGATCTACTAGGTTTAGTTAGGAGATACAGTTGGTTATTTCCAGGATCAGTAATTAGATTGTTTGAGAATTGATATGTTAGTATTATTCTTATAACTTTGTGTGTCCAATTTGTATATTATCATATATCTAATATGGTACAATTTGAAAATAGCTCAGAATAGTGATGGATACGTTGTTGGGTTGATCTGTCTGTTAATATGTACTGTAACTGTTTGCTTGACGATTTCCATCTTTGAAGTGTTATTGACTGAGATCTGTCTGTCATAGAGATAGGTTAAACACACAGTGAGTGACTTCACTACAAATTGTAACTCTGTTGTTACCAATAGGTAAGGACCTTAAGATCTAGTCACATGCTACTTTTGCCGAACCCGGTCTGAACATTTTTCTTAGATTTTCAACAAATAAAGCGGTTGTTTGGCCGAGCGGTCTAAGGCGCCTGATTCAAGTATTAGATTACTTAACTACTAAGTAGGAATACTCAGGTATCGTAAGATGCAAGAGTTCGAATCTCTTAGCAACCATTATTTTTTTTTCGTTTCAATATTTTTTTCCTTCCCTATCTATGCTTTGTTATTATATCAAGTGAGGTATTAGCAAATTAACCGCTAACTGTTTGCAATAGCAAGACACCCATTTATCACAGTTCTACAGGAATGGAATTCAACGATACTTATTTAAAAAGTGAACAACTTAATCGACAACAACTCATCTCGTGTTGGAAGAGTTCTGTAGAATTTAATAGTGACATTGGGCCATGTGACGAGGGACTTGCCCTTTATCTACCTTCAATTGAACCAAATTCATTGATATTGGAAATCGATGTTCATTTTAATAATAGGAAACTTACAAGAAATGAATTTTTATTTCAACAATTGGAATTATCAATGTCAAAAGGTTTGTACTTTTGGAAAGAGAAATTGCTTTATGACTGCTCTCTTTTCATAGACGAAGACAATTATAATAAACTTTGTCTAAAATTGAATTGTAGAATATGGAATGGCAATAAAATATCTTCATTATTGCAAAAGCCAATCGAATATAAAGATCATAGAAAATTTCTTCCTAAAGTATATTATTTACAAAAACTAGAAATTTCATCTCATTTTTTCTCTCAGACACAATTGGATTCTGTGCCGATAGTTGATTTCGTGAATACTTTTAATGAATTTACTACTTCATTGTTTTTATCTCAATTGGAGTTTCGTTTCCCTTTAGTTTTCTCTTCTACTACAAGACAATTGTTTAGATGTCAGGAATCAGAATTAGGCCCAATTTCTTATGCCTTATCAGATTCTCCAGCACTGATACCAATTTTAATAAGCATAATTTCAAATAATATGATATATACATCAATTTACCAGTTAGTGAATCCTAAGAAGAAAATAACAAAAGACTACCCATATTTTAAATTTTTTTTACTTTGACGAGGGATTAATTACCCAATTTTGCTTTAATTTTCATAAGATACCTAAAATCATCTATTTTTATGTAGTATATATTAACTAATAATGTCATCAATAGTTATGTTACTATCTACTTTTCTGGCTTCTTTCCAGAATTTACTCAAATGTCTTGAACCGCTGTCACAAGCAATAATTACAATATTGGAATTAGGTTTCAAACTTTGTGCTAATTCTATAGCAGCAACTGCATTTATGGCAGTACTGCTACCAATAAACAAACCATCATTAACAGACAAAAACTTGGCCATCTTAATAGCTTGTTCGTCAGTGACCCTAATTGATTCATCTATCAATTTTTCTCCTTCTTGGAAATTCTTGGTAATTCTATTTAACCCGATACCTTCTACGATTGTATCAACTTGGTGCCTTCTTCTGGTCCCTTCTTTTTCTACTCTATCGTACATTACACCAAAATTGATTCTATTGTAAAAGCCTGAGCCCTGTGGATCAGCTAAAACAACATGGCATTTCCTGGTTCTAAATCTACTTTTTAAATATTTAGAAACTCCTGAAATAGTACCACCTGTACCGCAACCTGCAATGAAGCCTTGAATATTACCTCTTAGCTGATGATAAATTTCAGGGCCTGTAGTTTCGTAGTGAACTCTCCAATTAGATTCATTTTCAAATTGATCAGCAAATATGCCTCTTGGAATAGTTTTGTCCTTCAAATGCTTTGCATTAAGTTCATCACAGGCTTTTTTGGCAGCATTCACATATTGATTAGGATCAACAATAGAAGCTGGCTTAACTTTATTAACAGTTGCTCCTAAGCTTTCCAACAATGCAAGTTTTTCATTAGCAGTATCATCAGGTAAAGAGATATGGGCATTATAACCTAGGGAATTGCAGATCATAGCTATAGATATCCCAGTAGATCCACTAGTACCTTCAAAAACCCAACCAGGTTCACCTCGTACTAATAAACCTTCCTTTTCGGCAGTTTTGATGATATTTAAAGCAACTCTATCTTTTGCACTACCTGCTGGGTTCTCAAGTTCCAGCTTCGCATAGATGTTTCTTCCTGTATATTTAGATAATGATTTAATTAAAACCATTTGGGTGTTGCCAATCAATTCATCTATACCATTTTTAGGTTTAGGTGTGTCTCTTAAAAACTTTTGATTCCTGACAGTATTATATGTAATAAGAACTATCGTAAGTGCTGTAGTCAAATTGAGAGCATCTTTTAAACTTATACCAAAAATTGAATCACTCTCTAACATAGCAAATAAATGGCTGGTATCCTATGTAGTATTCCTTTCGACTGGTTTTTCATCCACCCATTTATACTTGAAGTCAAGTTAAACTGATTCTATATTTTTTTTCATTTTTTCAATCCATCGCTATTTAAAGGTTTTAGAACATTAAAATACTGACAATGCTATTATTATTACATACAAAGGTAATAAATACAGAATTAAAATAGTCAATTGAATTGTGTATTTTATATCTACTTGTATTTAAAATATGGTAAACATGCATTATGCATGCTGAATATTCATATATATATATCCATATTTATATATTTAAATATCTATATATTATTGGTACAACATATCTTCTAATCTAATAAACCTTTGAGGCTTTGTTGAAACTTGACTGAAACGACAGGCAGGGAAGTTAATAACTGTAATACATTCAAGTGCCATTACTTGGTGCATAGCTTCTTCCCGTGCCAAATTTTCAAAATATCCTTCTACACTTTCTCTAGCCCTTTTTACCTCCAAATCAAATTGAAACTGACACCAATCTAAATATTGTGTCTGATCACTTTCAGAGAGTCTTTCATATTGATTTAAAGTTAATGGTGGGAATCTTCTTATAAAATTATATTCTGTCATTAGGATATGTTTATTTTCTTGACAATTTGGAAGATTCTCTCATAAAATGCAAATTCAAAAATAATAATGAACAAACTAATATTTAATTTCTGACATATTTATATGGTGAATCTTAATATGATCAAAACTTAAGACCCTGTAGCAATAAAATCAGATTCAATATTTACAATACAGTCCTTTGAGATATACATTTTGCTATTTGCAAAAACCTTTCTTTATTATGGCGCCAATAGCAAATAATGTCAATAACAAGAAAATTAATCAAAAAATACCTTTAATAAAAAATAACCAACAGGCAATCTCTTTTATAATTAGTCGAAATGCATATTATTATTCTTATTATAATTATAATTATTAATGACTGTAGTATTACATATGAATTCCAGTTTTAAAAATTTTATATACTAATCCTTGTTACCCATAACTTGTTTTACCGGTTCTGTTTGATTGACATATAAGCCATGTTCAGCAATATATCTAATTACAGAATTAGGTAATAAGTACTGCACAGACATCCCACGTCTTAAGAACAAACGAACTTTTGTAGATGAAATATCATTATAGATTAATTGTTTTATAACTAAAACATTTCTTCTATGTTCATACATGATATCGTGAGACAATAAAAATGAACGTACATCTGAACCGGTTCTTTCTAGGATTAAACAACCATAATTACCTAAAATGTGATGTAAGTCAGCATCAGCCCAAACGTTTGGTTCACCCATTGATTCAATTAGATCACCACCGGCCAATAACATAATTTTAACACCAATTTTTTCACCAGTAATTTTTGAAATACCACCTCTTTTAACGTTAATTTCATGATTAAAATGATCTAATACTTTTGCAGTTCTGGTATAAGCAGGTTGTAAAGATTCCCAAGCGTCTACCATTAACCACGATGATGTTCTTTCACAAGCTAATTCACACATACGAACTCTATGTTTTGAAGGAGCTAAACCAGCTTTTTTATAATTATCACTCACAGGTGAATAATAACCACCTATAACTTCAAATCTAGTTTGTTCATTAATAGCATCTAAGGCCATTTCGAACATTCTTAAATGCAAATATGTAATTGGTGAGAAAGAACCACATGCAACTATAACTAATGGTAGCTTATTTGGATTATTTAATTTTTTTGATAATCTATGTGATGGGAATTCATAAGATTCGATATCTTGAGCCTGTCTTACAATTCCATGAGGCACTTCTTCTAAATCAGCAATTTGATTTTTCAAAACACCGAAATTGTAACTAGTGGTAGATTTTTCATAATCTGATTCATTATCAGTTAAAGTTTCAACTTTAGAACTATCTTCAACAATTTCATTAATTTCATCCTCTTCATTTTCATCCTCTTCTTCAGCAGACGAAATTTCATTGGATAAAGGCTGGAAATCGTCCATATTTAATGGTATTCTATTTGATCTAAACTTTCTCCCGTTATTCTTAATATTGGTGTTATCAGGTAATTGATTAACCATTGATGGATGAGGAGATATACGTTTTGATTTCCTTTGGAAAGGGGCATCAATAGAGGCATTATAATCGGCCAATACATAGGGAACGATAGGCTTTGATTTTGGAATTGTTGATTCTGGATCATTAGGAGGATGAGGCTGCTCATTTGGGGTAGGTGGTTTGAAATCTGGTGCCCGAGTTGGATCCATCTTGATATTAAAAATAAATATCTTTTATTATTTTCTAATTCTATTTTTTTTTTACCTTTCCCCTTTGTCCTTGTCCTTGCTCTTGTTCTAACTGATCAATGGAGAAGCAATGGCAAAAGAAAACTCAGTTCTTGTCTAATTGGATAACCAAAATTAACTAACTAATCCAATGTTTTAAGTAACATTAACCGACAGAATAAAAACGATAATAGCAAGTTGAATGACTTCAGATTTTACTCTATTTTAATATACTGTCTCTCTTCTCTTCGCCCTCTTTTAATCCTTCATTCACTCACTTCCCAGTAAAAGCAACAAAGTTATGGTAAATGAAACAAACAAAAGAGTATCTTAAAACTGTACAATATAGTATGTAATATATATATATATCTGTTTATATGTATATGATCTACCAAAAAGAACCTAACCAATTATTTGTTGTCATTTGTGATAAAAAGTTTCGAAACATTTAAATTCGAAACATTTTATTTCGAAATCGAATTGGAAAGTTTCTTTTAGATGCGATGGAAAATGTTTCAAACCGGTGTTAAAATTAAAGGCCTGGACTGGTCGATGAGATGAGATGAGATGAGATGAGATGGTAATTAAGTATAACAAGATGTTGAAGATTGGGATGATTAATGGTATTTATTATCTAGTAGAATACTGTTGGTTGTTATTACTATTGTGGTAATAGTTTTGGCTAACTGGGTATGGTGGTTGGTTTACAGGATATGGGGGTTGGTTCCTTTGTTGTGCCTGCATCTGGTGCATTTGGTACTGTTGCTGCTCTTGGAATTGTTGTTGTTGGTGTAATTGTTGTTGTTGCTGCTGGTGCTGGTGCTGCAATTGTTGCTGTAATTGTCTGTCATGCATCTCTTGTTCATAACGCTGGAGTTCACGAGCTTGCTCATCAAGAAATTGTTGATCTTGATCGTGACTTATTGGATTTGGTCGATCTTGCTCGTATCTTCTTGTGTTCGGTTGACCCTGTTGTGTCCTTCTTTGATTTTCATTCCTGTGTTGTGACCCTTGAAATCTCTCCTGATCTTGACGTCTTCTTTCTTTTTGCATATGTTCAGCATCCCGATTATTCCTTACTTGAGGACGTCTAGAATTTTGGGATGATGTTAGAGGTGGTGGTTGCGACGGTGACTGACGTGTTTGGTTTTGTGCATGTTCTTGTACTTCCTGTCTTTTCCTTTGCTCCATTGCTCTTTGTACGATAAAATTGTAAATCATCGCCGCATTTCTAGTTGAACACGCATTCATCCAAGAAAATATCGATCCTAAAATAGGAATTAAACTGATGGCCAAATCAACACCAATATTACTGTACATTTTGACCTTTAATTCTGCAGATAAATGAAACTTTTTATCAGCTAATTGAATCAATTTTTTATGAACTGAATACATCAATGCAGGTCCAATAATTGGTAAAATTGAAACTATCGGTGCCCAACCGACAAAATCAGTCCAACAGCAACACCCACAAATACTTCTATCATGAATCCATGCCTTGTCTCTAATTTTCTTCCAATCTTTTGTTTCCTGCTTGGTAAAATAACCTTCTGGAAGTTTTCTTTTTATCTGTTCCTTTTCACCAGTTTTTGGATTAATTAATTCTTCATAAAATGGATCCTTTGTCGGTTGGAAATGTTCACCTGCATACTCATTACCATAATCAATAGCAGCATCTTGAATAAATCCTTCAATGGTACTCTGAATGAACCCGGACATCTTAGCATACACAATTTATCAGAGATTAACTTACTTAAATTAAACTTAAAACTATATTAGCCAGCCATACAAAACGAATGAGAATATTACGCACACAGGAACACTCAGCAAACTAAGCTATTCTTATAGATATACTACATATACAAACAAAAGCACATATATATATATATATATATAACACTATTTACTTTTATTAGATATGTAAAAGACGATACAGCATTTTGTTGCTAAAATTGATCTCATCTCTAACCTAAACTGAAATTAATAAAACAATGACAAGAATAGATCGGATTTCACGCTTAAGCAAGCAAATACAGAATACAAATCAATTATGGTTGATTTGTATGTAAGGACCACCCACTCGTCAGGCTGTTTCGTGTTTTCTAATTTAGAAACAGACCTCAAAACAGAATGGGACCTCCTCAACAACGAAGGCTTTCCTTTAACATATCGAAGCAAGTTATCTGGTTCGACCAGTCCTCCTTTTTTGTCATTATGAAGAAGACTGGTCTGTTGTGAAAACGTCCTGGTTATAGAAGCAAAGTTCAAAGAACAACAGCAACTGGTCTGTTATGTTGACACTTTTATGAGGAGGGAAAGGAGAATGTCTGTAGAAAGTACAGATTTGGTTTTTTCGGGTTTCGGTTTCGAAAGTCAAAAAACAAACAAAGTTGGGACAAATAATAAATGTCCTATGACATTTATTATTTGTCTTTGGACATTATCGAGTTGAGTTATGATTCTCAATGGCAGTTAATGATGAAGTAGATTGAAAAGGAACCTACACCAGGCCTAACAGATGTCACAAACTGGAATAGGGTCGATAGGTCAGTCATGATGGTTCCTATTGATTTTAGGTAAGGAAGAGAGGACTCTCAAGTATTAAAATAGTGTGTTATCTTTTTCTTGTTATATGCTAAATTATATACATACAGTAACATATATATATATAATTATATATAAATATATATAATTATATATATATATATCTTAAATGATCTTATACTCTAGGTTTGCTGTATTTTTTTTTCTTGTCCCTTCACTTTTGAGTGATTGATCGTTCAATTTGAACTTTCATAATGCAATATGATGGTATAATGACAGAACTTTTTGATTGTTAAAATGTTAAATAGCGAATGATTTTTCAATAAGATTAGTTAGAATACTGTTTATCTTCATTATGTTTGTATTATTATTATGTTTTTTTTTTGCTTTGATTTATGACATAAGGTAATCATAGTAAAATCTTAAAGTGAGTCTTAGTAACAGACAGATCCATCTAAGGAAGAAGCTTTCTGGAGATCAAACAGAGAATTCCTCTGCTTCAAAATAGATCTGATATATTAACTTAAAAAATAAAAAAAAATTATTGTATTTTGTATACTACTCTTCATATTTCTTTTTTGTCTTTGCCTGATGGTTCTGAGCCAGATCTATTTTTACTAGGTTTAAAACCCAATGCTTCTTCTTGTTCTCCCTCAATTCCTTCCTCGTCATCTTCTTCACGATCTCCACGATGGCGAAGATTATCCTTTCTCGTCTCAGATGTTTCTGTGACCTCAACCGTAGTTGAATTGTTGTTTTCCTCAGTAACATCATTTCCTAATATTATAGGTTCTTCAAGAATAGTGACACTTCTATTTCTCTTTAATGAACCGGTATCATTATCCTTTTGCTCAGCACTTTTAGACTCTTCATTATCTTTGATGCTTTGGATGTTAACTTCAATACTATTTTCTTCATTGTCTTCATTTGCTTCAGTATCAATCTTGATTAGTTCCGCAGTTCTTATCCACCTTCTTCTTCTTGTATACTTCGAAAATGAATCGGATGTTGATGGTTTCTTCCACGTATTATCATAGTAAATAAAACCTTCATCTGCACCAGGTGAAGCAGTTGTGCGTTGTTTAGAACTTGGTAATTGGATTGCACCATCATTAGTCAAATCCAATCTCCAGCTTTTATCAACCCATTTCCATGTTAAATCCGAACTTTCTTCAGGCAATGTAAAATCTTCTGGAGAAGGAGCTTGGTTTAAAAACTCATCAGTCCATGGGGTTCTTTCATAACTTAACATGCTGGAAGTCCAACCGATACCAATCCATCTTCTTTGATTTTCATAAAGAACATAAGTAAACCTTATTGTTTTATTAGGCATTGCTCCAGGTTGTGAAACATCCGTTTGTGTTGGTGATGATAATTTTCTTACTTGCTTATGAACAGCAGCTATTATACCTTGATTTTTATTAATCCCACCTAAATCTAACCCAGTTAAATAAAAGACAAATAATCTAACAGCTTTAAATTTCCATAATATTCTTCTAGTGACTTTCGACCATGGCGATTGATATGTTAAGATATAAACCCCTCCAACCAGTAGTAAAGTTCTTGGTGGGAATATAAATAATGAAATCACGACATAAATTGGAGACAAGAATATAGTAGTAGAAAGCAGTCTTCTAATGTCTTGAGCACTTAATATTGTGATTGGGGATAAAAACATATCGAATTTTCTAGTGACTTTATCCATCATTAGAACAATATCATCTAAAGTTGGTTGCGAACTCATAATATCTTCTATGTTTTGATGCAATAAAGAATAACCCCACAATAATCCTACAACCACTACATGACCAAAATATTTTGTTATATTTTGAAAATATAATATACCCATAATATAAGCCAAAGTGATCAAAATACTGCCCCAAATATTTTCATTTGTCCAAGTGACCAATCCTAAGAAAGAATCAGCAAGTATCAAATAAGGATAAATTTTGACCAACGATTTCGATATGGTAGATGGAGTAGATGACAACAATGGAGAAGACACTATAGTCGAACTGATGTCCATATTCATAACATTACGTTTCTTCAATGCACTTCTGATAACGTTGGTCGAATCTCCGCCAATCTTTGGTTGTGAGTTTTCAACAAAGGTAGCTCTAGTTTCACTTTCCTTTAAATTAATATCACTCATCTCCGTATTATTACAACTACTATTATTCTTCTGATTATTATTATCGAATACCACTCTCCCCGCCAATAGTATCCCTAAACTGTAAACTGTAAACTCGAGATCCTAAATCCAAAATCTTAAATACCAATTTCAACTCCAGTTCCAATTCCAATTCTTATAAAATCAGTTTCAGAATCTGCAAATTACTGTTGCTATCTCCGTTTTCCTAATAAAGTACAAATTTGGTGAACTCTTGGAATATAAAAAAGCACACTGCAATCAAACCTAAAGAAACACGATTGACACTAACCTATACCCCTTCAAACTGAAAACTTCACAGCAGAAATAGTCCCTTTAACTCCATTAAAACATAAATATATTCCAAAAGTTAGTTCTTAAATTCTAACCATGATTCGTTTAAATACATGTTGAACATTTTTTTTTTCTTGTTGAAATTTCATTATGGGAAAGGGTTTAATAACGAACTGGTCAAACAAGAGATGACTTTGATGATGATGGGTGAATTTAATAAGAATAATTGGTTATATATAGATGATGGGATAGATATAGAGGGTTTTTGAAGTTATATTTTGGTTTCTATGGTCTGATATTGGTATATCCGATTGTTTATTTTGGAGGTTTTTAACTGCAGGAGTTGGGAAACCCCCTTGTGAGATAGATTATGGTATAAACTGTTTCGGAATATGTTTAAGAAAAGAATGTCAAGTCGACAAATTAAAGCAGAATAAGAGAACAAAGTTGGATGCTATCGATAGCGGTTTGAATGATGTTAATAGAAGTTCTGTTGGTGATGCAAGGTCTAGATTGAAAGATTTTAAGAAATTGGATAGATCTAAGGATGATAAAACGTTGCCTAGCACTGAGGTTCGGGAAGCTGAAGAAGGGTTGGATAGTGATGATAGATATTCATTGAGTGTGAATGAAGATGCTATTAAGGTAGATAGGTTGAATTCCGAGATGGCTTCCGATCTTGATTCGATTAAAAAGAACGATTCTGGAGATCCAGTTCAATTTAGTATGAGGACGGATAAAAATAAGATTAAAAATCAGATCAAACAACCTACGAATGTTAGAACTACACTGTTGGTGGACTACCAACCTGACGTTTGCAAGGATTACAAGCAGACGGGATTTTGTGGTTATGGTGATAGTTGTAAATTTCTTCACTCTAGAGATGATTTTAAAGCAGGTTGGAAATTAAATCAAGATTGGAAAATTAGTGACGATGATGATAATAAAAATAACGATAATGGAGGTTTAGATGATAAGATAACGGACATTCCGTTCAAGTGTGTGATATGTAAAGATGATTATAAAACACCTATTGTTACCAATTGTAACCATTATTTTTGTAGCAAATGTTTTACAGATAGAGTGAGGAAAGATACCAATTGTTTTATATGCGGCAAAGAGACAAATGGTACTGCTAAATCAGCTAAAACACTACAGAAATTATTAAAAGATAGAGACCAAAATAAGTGAATGTTTTTCAACTGATTAATAAAAACGAATATAATATTTCGGTTCTTAGTAAGGACTATTAATAGATTCTCTGTAGTTCAGAGTAAACCGGTATCCAACAAATTATATCAAGAAATATTGACGTCGTTATGCGAATTAGTAATAATCTGTGACAGAATAAGGTGCACATTACGAGGTTATGATAAATTGTGTGTTTGTCAAAATGTAACAATATTTAATTGTTTAAATGCTAATGTTATATATGCAGAATTGTAGAAATTAATTGTAAGTATATAAATAAAATATGCCGAATCATAATATGCAATACCTTTTGACCTTTTCTTGATTAACTCACGTATTCAAATGGGTCAGTAATCTCTTGGATCTTGGACATAGCTTCCTTTAATGATTCGGCGTGTATGCGGATAATTTTTCGAATAATTGATGTTAATAAACCTTCTGTGACATAAATTGGAGAAACTTCTGAACTCAAGGTGCCATTAGATAAGTCTAGGAGAAGCTTATTCTCTAGAAAACCATCGGATATATTCAGAGTTGCAGATTGCAATTTGGTGCATTCACTTTTGAACTCATCAATGTGTCTATTGTATGGTGTATTTTCATTGAATGGAAAACTCTTACAAATTACAGAATATAAGTAGCATAGATTTGTAAATTCTTCAGGGGTTAATTGTAAGAACTTTCCTCTTATATAACTGTTAATAACTTTCATGTAATTGACAGCTATAAAAGAAAGCATGGCATCAAAATCAACTTCCCCAGTAAATGCATGTCCTTCAATTAATTTTGAAAAAAAATCGATGGGTTGATCGAACAATTTAAATTGAAAAAGAGACTTAATCTTCCCTTCATAGTTAGAAATTTCATTATTTATTAATAATGCGCTTATCAAACCGTTTTCGATATATTCTGATGTCTGGAGTTTGTCATTATATGACAAACAAATTTCCCTGAAATTAGACTTTTCCATCTCAGTATCAGATATACCCAGATCTCTCTTCAATATAATGAATTCATGATTACTTTTTAGGGTATCGTAATAGTTCTCGTTGATGAATAGCACAATATTGTTCAAATAATCTTTAGACTCGGAATCTTCTCGTATAACCTTTAAAATATTGGAAATCAACCGAGTTATTAAATTTGTCAATGATAATGAGAATAAAGTGTTTATTAATTTCTTTGTGAATTGCAGCCATTCTTGTTCTGTATTATTAATGAAATATTTCAAATGAATATTTGTTTCCTTCTGCAGCAATAAAGAAACAAAGTTACGGAAATTTCTATTCCTTTTTGTTAGAATATGATCGACTGTCAATGCAAAAATAGGTTCCCTAATTAGATTATAGGTGTCTTCGTCACAAATCTCCAATGTCTTGTAGTAGAAATAAATTTTATTTTCTAGTGCATGTTCTAAATTATTAAACATAAAAAAGGACCACCATGACAAAACACGTCTATCTAGTAAAAATTTACCAGTAATACAATACGCATCAATCCAAAATCTTTCTTCAGCAACCTTTGATTGTACTATTTTAAATAATTTATCCTGGACCCATTGATCACCTAGTTCATTCATTCTAGATAATAGTAATTCAATTATTAATTTGGATCCTTGCTGTGTCATTGACTCCTGGATTGGATGTGTCAGACACTTATACAAAGTCTTCAAAGTAGCTACATTTGAAACAGTATAAGTTTTGAACACATTTGCAATCCTATTCAAGTAAGAAATCCATATTTCAGAAACGTCATTATTAGTAGACACTATATGTCGATAAACCAGTAGCGTGAGATTTGATTTATAATGCAGTTTTTTGGAGTAGTTTATTTCCATTAGAGTAGATATGCCAGTTAGCAAAATAGAAGATAATTTTCTTGACTCCAATATGTTTATTTTTTTAGAAGAATACTCTAATATCAGTGGTTTCAAAAGATCTTCTAGTCTTTTTTCTAAATTGATTGACGAATTTTTCGCGATCAACAACAGTAAATTTATTCTGTTTACTAATATTTGTAGAGGATCTGTTCCCTGAACCTGACTGATCGGAATAACTTTTTCTCTCATTGCTTCAGATAAATCAAGAGTATCAAGTATACCCAAATATTTATTAAATAGCGTACCAGGTAACCTGCCTGTTGCTAAATCTGACATAACAATGTTATTGTTTGAGGCAACCGATTCTTCTTCAAAATCAATATATCTTCTCCTCTTGAATATATTGTTAAAGAAAAGAGCAATTTCATTAGATATTCTCCAGCTTAATATACCTTCACAATAGTTGACCCATTTGAAAGCATTAGCAATAGAATGGTATGTGCCATCTGTTTCAATAATTGACCACTTTTGAGTTTTTACTGGGAATAAATGGACTAACTTCATTGCGACAGAGGGTCTAAAAGAATGCAACTCAAGACTTGCCCATATTTCGTCAACGTTGTCGAGATTTGATATAATAAGGTTCAATATAACATAAGCATCATCAAGATATTCATCTTCCTGATTTTCTACATTATCGTAACAAACTGAGAGAAGAGTGAAGAACTTTATAGTATCATCTACAATTTTTAACTCAATTTGTTTTCTTAAGCTATTAGACACAGTTGAGTACTTCGTTATTGCATAGAAGAAAAGTAGACAAAACGCAATTTGATAAAAATGAATCGGTTTAGCTTTGTCCCTTATGGCACTTACCTTCGATCTGAATCTTTTATTGAAGTTGTCAACAACATAATAAAGGTCTGTATTATTTAAGAAAAGAATGAATTCTGAAATCAATTTACAGCCATTTACTAAATCGACGTCCGTAACACCAGTTTTCAATATTTCGGAAAATATTTCATTCAATCCTTTTGCAACATCATTTGAACCCAATTTTGATAACGTGAACTTTTTCTTATTAATATGGACTGTAATAACATCAGGTGGATTAATCTTCTTATTAAAGAATAATACTTGAATTGAATCTAAATTGTGTAAAATATCAAGACTAGATTCAGGTCTTTTCTCATCCGCTGAGTCATATTTAGAAGAAATGCCTTTCCCCTTTGTGACAGAATATTTATTGCTGGGCGCTTCTAGAATTGTGACAAATGTATTGATTTTCCTTGAAATATCAGAATTTGGGCTGGGATATAGGCCTGGAAACTTACTTACAGAACTAGACTTCTTTTTCCCTTCTTCTTTATCTGATTCCTCTTTATCATTCGGATGTATTTGATCAGTTACTCGCGATATTGATGAATCTTCTAAATGTTTTTTATTAGTTGCAACATTCTGGAAAGATAGCCTCTGTTGAGATGAATGAGGTTTTCTAATACTCTTTTTTGAAGTAATTAATTTTGAAGTATTTCTATTGACTCTATTTATATTGGTATTTCTGACATTGGCCCGTTTTTTACCAAATTTTCTTGAATGCGATTGTTTGGATTTTAAATTACTTGAATTAGATTTCGCAGTTTGATTTGAGAGCATTTCATCAATGATACCCCTATTAGATTCATTAGCACTATCTGTTTGCGGATTTACGTTTATTATTTCATTAATGCTCTGGTATCTTGTAACATCAGATATATCGCGTTCTAGTAAAATTTCGACTTCTTCTGTATTATTTTCTGGATCTCCGGTAGGGAGATAGATAACCTGTTCATCGGAAACATAATCATTTTGAAAGTCGTCAAATGAATATTCATCTTTATATTTCTGGTTGTAATATGCATTTAATTCGTCTAGATCATTAGGAGAGGGTTCATTGTTTTCGACTATCACTGGATTGTCCTGACTAGTTCCTTCATAAACATCTTCATCATCATCGCCTACTATCATTTCCTTCAAGAGATCAGACTCGAAATCATCCCGTACTGCTACGATTTTCTTCTTCTTTGCAACACCCTTTTGATTTAAATGAACTACCTGTCGGCTTCTATTTTTTTTGTTGCTGGTTGTTTCTTTCAAAGACTTTTCCCATAGAATTCTAGGCAATATGCCTCTATAACCATTTTTGACATCAAGTTTTCTTCCTCTAAATTTAATTTCCTCTTCAACTGAATAATCGTTGCCGCTATCTTCATCTGACAAATCTTGAGTTGTGCTCCCTGTTATATCTGTTGAAATTCTGTTATGTTGATCATTATTGAGAATATTGTCTGTATATGTGATGGGATCTTGCATACTATAGTCATTTGATATCCCTGTATGATTGTAAAACCCATTAACTTCTGTCTCCGCCTCACTATCTGTAGCCTGCCTATCATCAACTTGGTCATTATCATTATCGCTATTCTCTGGCATAATATAATCATAATCCTCACTTCCAGAATCATAAAGTCTAAAAGGTTTCTCTATTTCCTTTTCTTGTGAATCTGGATCAATTGGTTTGTTTGCTATTTTAACACCATCTAATATAGAATCATATCCGGTGATGTCATAACCTTGCAAAAATTGTCTATGCTTCAGTCTTTCTAAACTGTATGGGTTCTTTTGAATAGCTTTTCTCTTTCTTAAATGCCTTCCACTAATACCATCAATATAATTATTTTCTTCACTACTTACACTTAATCTTCTTTCACTTTGTAGTGATAATTCTGCACCTGGAATGGGTTCTTCTTCATTTAGATCATTGTTAGATTCTCGTTCATTAAAATGAACGTCTTGATTCAATGGAGATAACTCCGAATCAGAATCAATGCTAGCATCTGAATATTCAAATGGTTTGAAAATGATCTCAAGGTTATCATCTTCTTCTTCAGAATCGGGCACGATATATAATGAAGCATTAACATCTGAACTCATGAGAATTGTACTGTATCATTTGTTGTAACCTTTTACAACAGCTTCTGTTCCTCTTTTGTTATATTTTTATTATATTTTTATTATAGTTTAAAAAACCGTTAGACCACCAATACCCTTAGATGTGGCTCCAATATTGATATATCTCTTGTTTGCTATCCAAATATCTGTGAAATATGCCTCATTTCTCGATTATCAATCAATCAGTTCTTAAAAAGCTTTTACTTCCACCATCATATACTAAACATCACATTTTTCTGCATTACGCGTACTGTCAAATTAATTAAAGTTTTGGCGTCATCCTCAAATTGAAACAGAAACAGACATTGATCAGTTTGACAATAAATCCTTCTAATGAGGCAGTTGGATTATTTGGATGTGGATTATAACAATTGACTAGTCTGATTAAATATTATGTTATCCAATTCTTGGCTTTTTTTTTAGGAAAACAGTCAAACATATGACCACTACTCATGAGACTTTAAAAGGCTATCTGTGTTTTGAGATGAGATGAGCATGTAATTGGTGATTCTATAAACAAATAACTTGGAAATTTTCTAGGGTCGAATCTTGGAATAAAGCTATTAGTTTCATGAGTAAATTTATATTCTATTATCTAACTAATTATTATTTGTTTCTTGTTCTTGATGGAGGACCTCCAATAAAGCTGCCAGTGATATCCTTACACTTTCTAAAAACCGACAGAAATTCCAATAACTTTTTTCTTGGATCTTACACAAGGTTATATTTACAGTCAATATTTCAAATGTAGACTACTAATTCACTTTCATTGACAATAGGGTGTGTCACTTTCTCAAGTGATCATCTACTAATTCATTTCTGATCCGCTTTTATAAAACCTGCTAATTGGCTAATGAATTCTAGATTCCAATTTTAATTCGCCAACTTCACCTTCATTGACCAGTAAAATAGGATGTTTATCTTACCAGTATTGTGTCGGACTCCAAATTGTACTTTTTATATCCTAATCCTTCCAGAATCATCTCTTCACGCCTTTGCCATTCCCTTTCTTGGACCTTTAAACAAGAAATTCAACGCATCGATGATTTAAAACCAGTTTAAGTAAGAGACGAGATGAGATGAGATGGGATGGTAGAAGAAACTTGTTTATTAATGTTGCAGATCACTAACTGATTTAGGATTGTGATTGCTATATTGCCCAAGTAGGTGTTTTTATAAAAAAAATGGTTAAGATTAAATCAAATCCACTCAAGATAGATTTTGTAAAATGTATTATAGAGGATAAACTTTTACAACTAAAAAGCAAAGTCAGTGAGGATACACCTGATCTGTTGAAAGTATGGACTATTGATATTGACCCTAGAGAGTCCAAATATGTGATTGAACTGATTAGAAATAAATTGCAACCAGATGATCCCATTTCCTTTTTGCATATCAAAAGAATTAAGAAGTTAAAGGATAAGAAGTTGTTAACAGTGATACTGTGTTCTGAAGAACTTTATGAGAATGTTGAAGATATTGAAGCTTTGTTAGAGATGTATAAAGATAAATTCAGTTATGATAATTTACAATGTGAAGTTTCAGTTCCTAGAAACCCACCACCTACAAGGGAAATAATGTTGAGTTGGTCGGAATTATATTGGCCATTAAACTGGAATGGTAATCCAAATGATCAAATTTTAAATGATTATAAAATTGATATGGAAATGATTACAAAAATGTTAAATATAATAAGTAAGAAATCCAACGAATTAGATTCAGGAAATGACCGATTACCAATAGTGACAGCATTTGTAAACCCTACGAATCCAGAAGATTACATTTTGTCAATAGATGAAAGGGATAGTACTGGTAATATTCTAGATCACAGTATAATGTCAGGAATTCAAAAAATTGCAAAATCAGAAAGATCAAATCGTCTTAAAAATATGACCCAAGAATCCGATGAATTGACATATTTATGTTTAAACTTTGATGTTTACACTACACATGAACCCTGTTCGATGTGTTCAATGGCATTAGTCCATTCAAGAATTAAACGATGTATCTTTATAAATCAAATGAATAAAACAGGATGTCTTAAACTCCATAGTGGTGACAGTTACTGTATGCAAGATAACAAACTGTTAAATTCAAAATATGAAGTTTTCCAATGGCTGGGAGATGATTACAAGATACCAAAGATAGATGACAGAATATGTTGTTAATATTGGAAACGAATAGATTGATTGTACTCACATATATGCCATTGGTTCTACACCTTATACACCTCTAGAATCATCCATCTCCATATCCATCTCCATTCCATTATCGATGGTCCCATCCATGGTCTCATAATACCCTAATAGCATTAAACTGATTCTATCCGTCCACAATGATAATTACGTCGTTGTCATCGAATCGACTCGAATCGAATCGAATCCGAAATGGGAAAAGTGAAAAATTTTTCAATCGGTTTCGAACAGCCCAACAAGAATATTTAATGGAATCGAATAAAGAACAACCATTTTTGCAATTGATTTATTCTTTTCGACTTTTATTTTGTTATTTTAAAAAGTTCTTACCACTTTTTACATTTTATTATATTTGTTGTTTTTACTTTCCATTATTTGTTGTTAATTTCTTTTACATTTTTAGATTTCATGTAATAGAAAACCAGTAATAACTAAAATGGCTTACACTGACTTCTCTAAGATCGAAACTTTGAAAGAATTGAACAGCTTCTTGGCTGACAAATCTTACGTTGAAGGGTATGTTTAGATTTAATTTTTTGTTTTAGTTCCAATTTTAAATTATTTTTTTTCCTGTTCATCATCACAAGTAGTATGATTTTTACTCACTGGATTGAATTATGAATCTTTAATTAGCAATTGTGAAGGATGAACTTATTCTTTGGTCCGTGTTTATGACGGGAAGTAAGACCCCCGGTATGAGTGACACAAAAAGATGTGATTAATTTCACGATTTCTGACAATTGTACCAATTGCTAATTCTGGTTCTATATTCAACTCTTTCATCTCCCTGTAGAGTAGAAAGAATGAACCGATGGAAATTGATAATTGATAATTGAAAATTGAAAAATTGAAAAATTGAAAAATTTTTACATTTAATACTAACAATTTTTTTATTATTATTTATTTTCATTTAGTACTTCTGCTTCCCAAGCTGATGTCACTGTCTACAAGGCTTTCCAACAAGCTTACCCAGAATTTGCTAGATGGTTCAACCACGTCGCTTCTAAGGCTGACGAATTCGCCACTTTGCCAGCCGGCTCTGCTCCAGCTGCTGCTGAAGAAGAAGATGACGACGAAGTCGACTTATTCGGTTCTGATGACGAAGTCGATGAAGCAGCTGAACAGTTAAAGGCTCAAAGATTGGCTGAATACAACGCCAGAAAGGCCGCTAAACCACCAAAGCCAGCTGCTAAATCTATCATCACTTTGGATGTTAAGCCATGGGATGATGAAACTGATTTGGAAGCTATGGTTGCTTTCGTCAAGGCCATCGAAATGGAAGGTTTGTCTTGGGGTGCTCACCAATTCATTCCAATCGGTTTCGGTATCAAGAAGTTGCAAATTAACTGTGTTGTCGAAGATGACAAGGTCTCTATGGATGACTTGCAACAAGCTATTGAAGAAGATGAAGACCACGTCCAATCTACCGATATTGCTGCTATGCAAAAATTATAAGAAGACTTTATGGATCGTCTAACTTTTTAATTATTGCTATTCATATATAATATTCACAAATTCAGGGAATTTGTTTAAATGATTAAATGCATTGTCGGAGTAAGTAAAGAAATATAATATATATACCAACTTTTATAATTGAAAAAAATATTATTTCTCAAGTAAGTTTAATCATTAATTGCTCTCTAACGTTTACATTTGTCAAATTATATATGTTGTAAAAAAAAAAAAAGATTTTCATTTCTATCTTCATTAACAATACTACATAGTTACATCAAAAGAGTATACCAATTGTGCGATAAACTGTAACCAGAATATGGCGTTTCATATAATAATCCCTTTTTGTTTAGCCAAACACATATCTCACTGATTTCGTTTTCGCAAACAATATCATTACAGTTTCTAATTAGTCTCTTAATCGTAATCCCAGGGTTGTAAAGGATTTCATTAATAATAATAACTACTAAACTTTTCCAAATATTCGACCTAATGTTTCCTTCACCATCTAGCCATAACCTAGAATAAGGCTTGCCCATTGGTATTGCTACTTCGATTGCTTTCCAAATGTTTTTCATTTCATTTTTGAGCGCACCTACAATTAATGGTGGAGTTAAGGCAGTAACATCAAACCTTCTTGTACTGTAATTTAAAGGTTTTATTTTCCTATCAATTGGTACCACATCCATAAAAACTTTACCTCTTGAAATCAAGTCAAATAAAATCCAGGATGAAACGTCCCTTACTTCTTCACTAACGATAATACCATGTTTTGATGATAACATCTCTTCAAGTTTTGTTCTGTATTTCTCTGCCTCTTCAAAGGCTTCATAATTTCCTCTTGACGTCAGGATATCGTTTACTGCATTTGTTGATGCCAGCTTAGAATTCCTTAAGTACAGCTGCTTTTGTTTTGCCATATCCATTATAACTTTATCCAAATCCTCCTTAGGAAAGTGGTTTAAAACTTCTATCTGATCTTTGCTTGTTTCCGTTTCATCTATTAAAATCGATCTAATTATCGATTTGACATCACCTTCGGTTAATTTACCTTCATTTGTATTGGAAATTTTACTAGAAGAGTAGGAATAAACTTTTTTCAATAAAGAGGCTTCCCTTTGGACCATAGAAGACATTGACAAACTTGTGTAAGTATCTAGAGACCGGGAGACTCTTATAAAAGTATGATGTTTCATATTTTGGTCATAACTCTTATAGAGTTTGATAGGTTTATTGCGTTCAATACCATCATGGTGCTGCCATAGACTTACCAATTTCGTTAGTTCCAATGTTTCAACATCTTCGATTGAGACTTTTTCCTGTTCAATGGCTTTAACTAATATTCTCTTCCACTTATCGACATAACCCTTCCAACCATCATATCCCATTCTGACACGACAAACTGTCCAACGCTTTTTTAAATTATCAAGGGAATTGTTGGGGAAAAGTGCTGTAATCTTATCCCACCCAATTTCATTTTTAATACTTTTAGTAATCACGACACATTGTATCAAAGCCTTTATACCCATTTTGTTACCCAAGTGGAATTTCAAATTAGAAATATCATCTATTGGAGTTGTAGGTGGTGCAGATATTTCTTTAGTAGGAAGATGTGATTCTGTGCTCTTCTTTTTTGATTTTTTCTCAGCAGCTTTGGTTCTTTTGACTCTTTTCTTTGGTTTAGCACCTGGTTCTGTACCTTCGGTGTGTCTACTTGAAGATTTATTCTGAAATTTACGAATTCTTTCTGCTGATTTCACACCTCTATGGAATTTATTCTTTTGCGTTTGATCAAAGAAATATATATCTGTATTGTGTAGAGTATCATACAGTTTCTTATTGTCTTTTTCTTGTATAATATATTGATCTATTTGTTCTTCTGTGGTCTCTGGTAGATATATTAAACGTCTTCCCGTATTGACATCTAATTTAAAGCACAGCTTATCACTTTCAATCATCAAATCCATGTCTCCTCGTATAGTTTTTTTGTCAATTATAGTTATAGATTTCATATGCTTTGTAAGTGATTCTAATAATTGTTCGTTCATAAAGCATACACCGCCCATCTTCTGTAAAACTTCTATAATAGCTATTTGACGTTTTAGTGAACGTAAGGAACCTGCCGAAAATCCACCAATATTTAATAACCCTGAGTTAGACTTGATTTCGACCTTTTCATCTGCGATTGTTGTGGGAGGGGTAACATTAACTTCAGTAACCTGTTCAGGTTGAGCATTTTCGATTGATGTGACATCTTCATTTGTCTCTTGCTTCTTTCTTTTATTTTCAGGACCTGGAGTTGATTCTGTACTTTCTTTATCACTTGAATTGTTTATCGTTTTTCTCTTACGACTGCGTGGCACTGAATTAGGATTATCTGGCACTTTTATTTCACCATTCCAAAAGAATTGGTCTGAACCATTATTTGAAATGAATCTTAGTGTATTATTCAATGGTACAAACGCCTCCTTATTAAGTTTTGATAGATCGGTATTTTGGTTTGTAATAGGTTTTAGAACCCCTGCTGATTTTGAAATTTTATTACCGGTTAATTTATTGAAGTTATTTTCAGTGAAAAGCCTATAAAACTTTTTCTTACCTTCGAAATCATAAACACGAACAATTGAATTTGTTGAAATTTTGTTTTTTTGTTTGCCTACAGTTTCAATATAATATTCACTTGATTTTGTAAAAATTCTTTGATAGTCTCTACCGGTTATATTATTGACAGTATCCATGGTTGAAACACCATTAACACCTGATTCATCTACGAAATCATAAGTTTGATTTTGAATTGGATAAAATCTATTTAGCAGGAAATTTTGTCTATGTTTAACCAATGAAGAAGAAGGGGAGTCCTCTACCATGAGGCCATCTTGTTGCAATAGTTGCATTGCATTTATGTTGTCAATATCATCATAATTGTCTTCCAATTCTGCTTCGATTTTATCATCTGTAGTTATGTCATCTTCATCATTATCACTGTCGAAATCCAAATCATTCGAATTTTTATCTTCTTGTTGATAATCTCTTAAATATTTTACACATCTAATTTTGACATCAGGGTTTGTAGGCGACACAACATAAACCTTTTTTAAATAACCTTTTTCATCTAACCAAGTGATGGCTGTTAAGAACGACCTTGAGACTCTTGTATCTTGATCAAATTTCAACTCTCTTTTCAAATCAGTTGTTTGACGTATACCATTTTTGGATTTTTTAACTACATCAACGATAGTCGATAAAGACTCTCTTAAACTTATGTAAGGTTTTTCCTCATGTGGAATATCCTCTGAGAACTTTTGTAACCTTAATAATTTAACTACATGACCTTTATAAACAATTTGGCTTCCTGTGACTAAATTACCCAATTTTTTTATTCTCCCTGTGATACTACGAGAGTCCTGTTTTGTTACATTAGCTAAATCCTTTGTGTTGATACCTTTTTTCCTTGATTTTGCAATTTCCAATAGTAATTCAAAAGCTGAATTACCAATTGAACATTCTTTCTTATTATATCCTGTGAGTATTTCCCATAGTTTATCTTCCGTGATTCTTGCATCGAAATCAGACAACGAACTTTGAATCTCCATAAAATTGGAATGTAAATCGTTGCCAATGTAAACTTCACCATTCTTATAAAGCAAAATGTCTTTATTTGAGAAAATAGAATGTAAGATGAATTCATTCAAAGAATCGTCCCCGTCATTACCCAACAATTTTTTACTCAACTCGTAAAGTTTTTCAATAGCTATCTTCCCACCTTCGTAAGCAATTTCCTGTGAAATCAAATCCACTAATTCATCAGGATATATAGTTGACACCATCACTACAGTGCTAGTTACTTTACTATCTGATGAACCTTAAATTTTATCAATTATTGAATCTTCCCTTTGCCCTGAAAAAAATCAAAATATAAAAATAATCAGAACTTATTTATATATACCCAAAATATAGAAAACAAAATTCATCAATTCGTTAATTGACCAATTCCTACAACGACTAAAAAGTGCTTTTTAACAATATAAATCAGCTTTTATTCCTCTTTAAGTTAATTATAATTTAAAGGTTTATCTCTATTTGGTTCTTAGTTATGTAGAATGACAGGAAATTATAAAGAAGTAATAATGAAATAAATTATCAAAAAAAAACGAAAAAACATCAAAAAACGTCAAAAATGCATCTTCCAAGAATCGAACACCGGAGAAAGTGTTCGAAATCGATGAGTTCTTTTTTTTTCTTTTTTTGAAAAAGTTTAACAGACGTTTCTTTTTTTAATTAGTTTGGGTCTCACATTTTTCACAAAAAGCTGGTTAGGTCCAGAGTATGTCGCTATGCTATGCTATGCTATGCTATGCTATGGATAAACTACAGTAATAAAAGCAAGATTATAATGTTAACGATAGATGCCATCCTATCTATAGTCTAGTCTACTCTAGTCTTTGGATATGAATGAAGTCAACCAACCGATACTCATCCAATTCTCAATCAAAATCACTTGGATGGATGTATTTAATTTTGATTCAGTATATATATATATATATATATATAATATAGTCTTGATCTAGCGACAGTGTAATCCAAATATATACTTCGCATCAACTCATCAATCCCAAGTTCATCGTAGTGATATGATATCGTTTATAGCCAATTATTTTTTTTTTGGCAAAAGGTATTTTTTTTTCCCAAGAGGTTAGTTTGTTCCTGTTGCTGTCTCTCTCCCAATATCTCCCAGTCTCTCTCTTTCTCTCTCTTTCTCTCTCTCTCTTTCTCCCAGTCTGATGATATCGATAATATGGTAGCAAGATCAGGTAAGGTTGCTTGTTTCTTTCCCTTTCTCTCTCTCTCTCTCTTATATATACCATCTCGAATATTTTACGAAGTTTTCATTCTTATTTAATAAGGAAAAGTGTTTCGAGCTTGCTAATTGTGATTGTAATTGTAATTGGTGTTTTAATTGTTACTGTAACTGCTATATAAATCGACGACTGTGTGATCTAATTCAGTTTCTCAATTTATTTACTACAAGATCACTTTTCAGAGAAGTTAAGTTATAGATATACACAGTGTTGTTTAATTTAAAATGTCAGATATCTCTTCTGTATTGTTAATTGGTGGTGCTGGTTTTTTGGGTTTACATTTGGTTCAACAGTTTTCTGAAGTTAAACCAACTCCTAAAATTTCAGTATTTGATGTAAGACCATTGCCTGAGAAACTATCCAAACAATTCTCTTTTGATCCAAGTTCAATTGGTTTCTTCAAAGGTGATTTGACCTCTGCTGAAGACTTAGAAAAGGCTATTAAAGAAAGTGGTTGTAATGTAGTTGTTCATTCCGCTTCCCCAATGCATGGTAATAGCCAAGAAGTTTATGAATTAGTTAATGTTAAAGGTACTAGAAATATCATCGATGTTTCAAAAAAATGTGGTGTCAAGGCTTTGGTTTATACTTCTTCTGCTGGTGTCATATTTAATGGTCAAGATGTTCACAATGCTGATGAATCATGGCCAATTCCTGAAATCCCAATGGATGGTTATAATGAAACAAAGGCTATCGCTGAAGATATGGTTTTAAAGGCAAATGATCCAGAAAATGGATTCGTAACCATTGCTTTACGTCCTGCTGGTATCTTTGGTCCTGGTGATAGACAATTGGTTCCAGGTTTAAGAGCCGTTGCTAAATTAGGTCAATCGAAGTTTCAAATTGGTGACAATAATAACTTATTCGATTGGACTTATGCTGGTAATGTCGCAGACTCTCATGTATTGGGTGCTCAAAAATTACTAGATCCAGCCACTTCAGATTCAGTCTCTGGTGAAACTTTCTTCATTACAAATGATACTCCAACATATTTCTGGGCTTTAGCTCGTACTGTATGGAAAGCTGATGGCCATGTGGACAAGCGTGTCATCGTATTGAAAAGACCTGTTGCAATTTTGGCAGGTTATCTATCTGAATTCTTCTCAAAGTTATCTGGTAAAGAACCAGGTTTGACTCCATTCAGAGTAAAGATAGTTTGTGCCTACCGTTACCATAATATATCAAAGGCTAAGAAACTATTAGGATATTCACCACAAGTTGATATTGAAGAAGGTATTAGAAGAACTCTTGCTTGGATGGATGAAAAACTAGATTAGATTTAATGAGATCTTGCAATCCAAATTTGTATACGAAACTAGTGACGAGATGATAATAATTTATATAAATTAACATATAAACATATTTAAATATAGATGATCAAATACAGAATTAAGACTATGAAACTTAGAAATAAAGCAAGTAGCTTTTATGGGTTAAACCCCCATAATATGTAGTAACCTGTCATTCGAACCTTAAATGGAGTTGAAAGCCTAAAAAATGTAGATGTTATGCTTAATAACAATATACCTGGTGAAAGAAAGGGTATTACCACTAACACCTCTTCACATATAAAATCAAAACTATATCAAGATAGAGTTAATAATCAATACAGTGAGACACCTAATAAATGGCATCCATATCTAAGAAATAACATAATTAATTGTATATATACATAATTTAAAAAATATTAGATTTTTTAGTTAATTGGATTATATCAATAATGCCTTCGAAAGCTCAGAGGCTAAGAAATCGGATTCTACTTTATAATTTAACTTGTGTAGGTTGGATACAGTATATCTTATTCTAGTTTGGTCATTGTAATTATCTTCCCTTGCTCTAATTCTAAAATCATATGGATTCATTTGAATGCTTTGTGTTTTTTTACTGAAAGCATCGGGATCGCTATCTTTTAACTCTATTAAACTATTGGCATCAATTCCAAGCAGCTGTTTAGCTTGATCATTAAATAGTGTCAACCACATCTGGCCAGTTTCATCCATTATAGATATCGTTAGCATGTATCTCCATTCTGGCTGTTCACTTGTTTTATCACATCTTTCACATCTCCAAGAACCATTGTGTTCGATGACCTTCTTATTACAGTCGGCATTAGTACAAGCAGGGTATGCAAAATTATCAACCTTTAGAAAACTAACAGAGGCTTTAACACTGAAGAAATCACCCTTTTCGCTCTTTCCTAAATTATCAGATTGAGCTTTTGCAATAGTTGTACGTTGAGAAATAAACTTCATCAAGTTATCAGAAGATGGAGCACCGCCAACTTCTTGGTTTAGAGAAGAAAAGTTCTCATTCTTACCACTTGTATCGTACCAACCCTTCAAAGAATAAGCTTCTGGGATTTCAGGATTTGGAATCAGAGTACTATTAAAACCCATTGATAAGGACTTACCACCGAAGTCACTAACTCTAACACCCTTAATAGCAACAATAGACCCTTCTGGTAAATTAAAATCTAAGGCTTGTTGGTTCCATAAACCAACAGAAATGGAGAAACCTGAATCATCGACAATAGTGATATCACGACGATCGAATTTTTTACCTGCCTTTGAAGTTAACTCGAAGTGTGGGTTAACAGTTTGAATAACACCCAAAACATCCACGGTAGAACTAGCTTCCTGGTTTTGAATTGCATCAAGTTTGATAAAACTGAAATGAGTCTTTGGAACATTACTTTCATCTTGACATTCTTCGATAACAGTTTCTCTATCTAAACTTAATTCATATGGATGTGACAAATTGGAAAATTGAGGTTTAGCAGGTTGTAATCTCGCTTTTGATACATAATAAACTTTACCTTCTTGCAAAACTTCATTAAATTTAGTTGCCATATCATTGAAAGCAGTTGCCCTAATTTCACCAGAGGTATCTAAGAAGTTTACACTAAACAGCTTACCTTCACCCTTTTGATTATGCCAAGTCTTAATTTCACCCTTATATGAGACTCTTGCCTTAATAGTCCATACATTTTGATATGGTGACAATTGTTCGATGGCAAAGATTGGTCTTGATTTTTGAGAATCTGACATTGTATTATTTTGATGACTAGTAGAATTAGATTGGTGAGTTGTAGTGGCGACTGGAGCACTTGAAGCAGCAGCGGTGGCACCTGATTGTGGTGCTGCTGCTGTAGTAGAAGATGCAGACTCACCCAAGACTTCATCTTGGTGTTGCATGAAATAGGCATCTAAAAACTCAGTAGTCTGTTCAATAACTTCAGCACCAGATCTTACCAATTCAAAATCATCAATTAATAACACATATTTCTTTCTTTCCTTAATAATTGCAGGTTCTGCAACAGTAACACGGATAAGGTCACCTCTCTGTAGTTCATTTTGTTGAAACTTTGTAGCAGCTTGATTTCTCAATAAAGCTTTCATATGGTGTACACCATCACAAATCATAATTAGATTTTTCCTATTAGCATTACCACTGTCAGATTTTCTAGTGTTATAAACCTGATACACCCCTCCATTTGGGTTATCGTATCTCTCTTGGTTAGTGAATATCTTATGGAAATCACCTGTAGTTAACTCTGGAATCGACATTTGTTATATTTATCTTTTTAATATCCTCCTTTAAAACCAAAATAGAAAGTAGGATTATATCACAGTACCAATTTCTTGCAAACCCTTCAAACCTTGCAACCTCTATATCTTTTCAAAGCTATACCTAAACAGAAAGCTATCAAGTGTTGAAATCTTCTTAAACTTTCAATCAAAGAATATAAAAACAAAACAATCAATCAATACATTCTAAAATAGTTGTTTTAGTAATACAGTGTCTTGTATACCATTCCCATTATATATATGTCAAAAGTTTACGCGTTTTTTTTCTTGAATTTTTTGAAACTTAAATCACGTTAAGTTTCGTGTTGCTGTAGGTGTAAATGAATTAGATGAGATGACAAGAGATGATAGATGATAATTTAAGAATGTTTGATTCTTTTGAGGACTATAGATGATATAGAGACTCTGGTGATGGAGTTAGAAGGAAGGTATTGTCAGGATTTTGTTTGTTTTATTAGTTTAAGTTTTGGTTGGTCTCTGGATTCAAGAACAATTGGGTTTACTATATAGGTTTTTAGGGGAACAAAATAAAATAAAAGAAAATAAAATAAGTGAGCATTAGTTTAAGGTAAGTTTGTGGATTAGAAGTTTTAGATCGATGAAGGTAGTTTCAGTAGCTCATATCCAATATGATTTTGTTAATTGCATCGATGATGTTAAAGAATTGAAAGTTTCCGAGGAAAGTTTTTTCATTAATGAAGATATTTCGAGTACTGAAATCAAAGAGTATAAAGTTAATATCAAGGCTGCATCAGACACTTCTGGTTTGAGTTTTGAAATTGATGATTCTAATGGTACAGAATTGGAATCATCTGGGTGGACATCTCTATGGTGCTAAATTAGGTAATAAATATTTCCAATTTTTAACACCTAGAAAAAACTTCACTGATATTATCTCGAAGGAATCCAGTGTAAATTGGAATTGTGCTGATTCTATTAATATTCCTGAAACTAGATACTGTTTGGGAGATTCCACTGGTGATATTTTCATTTATAATAATCGTTTTGAATTGGAAAGAGAACTTAAGGATGTGCATAAGGGAGATATAACGTTTTCTAAATTCTTTCCAAGTGGAGAAGTTTTGTTGTCAGGTTCATCTGACATGCAATTGAAAATTTGGTCTGTCTTGGATGGTTCAAATGCCAGAACTTTAGTAGGTCATAAGGCAAAAGTTACAGATGCTGAAATAATAGACAGGGGCAGAAATATATTGTCTTCTTCCTTAGATGGATCTGTTAGACTATGGGAATTAGGCTCGGGAACAACAATTAAGCAATTTGGGAGAAAAGAAAAATTAGATGACCCTATCAACGATATTTGTTTGGGAATGAGGTCCAATGAAAATAATTTATCTGAGAGTGAGTCGGTACAAGCCGGTCCATTGGAATTTGGTACACAAGATAAAGACTTCTTATCGGCACATCAATCTGGTGTTATTACCATGCATGATCTTTTTACGAAAGAACAAACTCTTCAATTTCCAAGTAAATATATGTCATCATGTGTCAAAGTAGTTCGTGACTCAAATCACCCAAATTTTGCATACGCTGGATACGGAGACGGTACTTTAGCACAATGGGATGTCAGAAAACCTACAAACCCAGTATTTGAGTGTTCGATTAACAAAGGCTCTAATATTAATACTCTATTTTTGCATCAAGATTATATTTACATCTCTTCCGATTTTGATACAAGTGTTAGAATAAAAATACTGGATGGTACAAGAAATCTTGATGTAGAGAGACCAACTTTTCTTACCTCTAATGATTATTCTGTATCCCAATATGTGAAGCATCCTGATCCTAACTCAAATGAAGTATTTTCAGTGGGGAATTGGGGATTTTGTGCAAGCTATAATTAAAGTATTAAATTTAACAGCAGATTAATCTACTTTTTTTAGTAGTTTAGCATTTATATATATTGCATTCGAGGCACCTCCCTGGTCACTTTAAAATAAGGAATTTTTTTAAAGATTTATCGAGAGATTACTTAAATGATGTTAACAAGTGATAGCTTGTTTAGGTGCTGCTTCCATTGTATTATTAAGACAAAATCAAATGATTGGTAACAGTCAGATTGTGATCCTTTAATAATATGGATAAATTTAACAGGATATTGCACTAATTGTGATTGGATAAGTAGAAACTAGAATAATAATAAGTAATTATTATAACAAGTATAGAGGATTACTACAAATAATATAAATAAGTCCACAATTTTAGAAAAAAAATATTTACTCTTTATGTCTTCTTTACCTTAAATTGGAAAGAAGAAATTCTGGAAATTTATAGACCAATTAGTGACAATCAATATAAATCAATAGAAGATAGATGTCTTAATTGTAGAATATATATATATAAAGATACTGCAGTATCAAATAAAGCGTAACAGAGGTAAATATATTTGTTCATATAATCTGTAACTATTAATAAGTGAAAAATTTTGGAGAATATCTTTTTAAAATATTGATATTAATTGAATTGGTTACTAATTATAAGAAGAAGTTAAAAAATGAGATCTATAATAACTATTATCATACTATTTATATTTTATTTTCAGTTTTTATTCTTTCTATTTAATTTAAGCTTTTATCTGAAATTGTAGAACAAAACTTAAAAACAAAATAGAAAATTATCTACTTGTATATCTGGAAAATACTACATTTTAGAACGATGCAAACAGTTTTTGAAAGGAAGTAAATTTAATAATAATCATATTTAATAAAATATTCGATAAATATTATTTGTTAAAGTCAGTGATTATTATAATTTATGCATGCTATTAACCTTTTCTTAAAAATATGATAATAATGAAATTTATCTAGAAGCTTTTAGTTACTAATAATTATAAATTAATTGAGTTTATATTAAAAATTAAAATAAATGGGTCTCATAATATATGTTCCTGTTACTTATTTTAGATTATAAAAATGTTACAAAATTTTACAACTTTCAATGTACCTCTTTTTTACTAAATATATTGAAATATAAAACTTAAATTTATATATCAATGCAAGTAATATTATTAGGTTAAAATTATAGTAAAATAATCATAAAATTCAATTCCCGGTAATTCAGTTTTTATTTTGTGATTATGTTATTTATTTTGATTGTGTTAGTGTCCATGCTAAAGGGAATTCATAAAATCACATTATTAAACATTATTAAAATAAGTATATCTAAAATAAAGAAAAATAAAATTATAGGTAGGAAACAATACTAGAAATAATTTGAAGAAAATTTTATTCCTTACTTCTGTTTCTTTGTTTTTCACTTTTCTATAGATTCTATTTTACTGTCGTTTATTCATAACAAACTGTAGAGAATTATGTTGTGGTTTTTCTACCGAATCGTTCATAGTAATAGATTCTTTATTTATTTCCAAGGACATTCTTAATAAGTTGATATTGATCCAGTGTATTAAAGTATAAAATATACACATGGGAATATAGTACATATGATAAGTATCAATTAAGATCTCATCATTTCTTATATACATTGTTGGAAATGTTTTCAGCGTCAGTAATACTTTCGTGTAAAGTAACATTTCTTTATCCTATATGAATAATGTCGTAATACGTATATATCACGTGTTACCTCATAATTCTGACACAAACTATGGATAATAAGTTAGGTTTGTCAAGCACATGAACCTTACTTCTTATTATATGCTAGGGTATTTAAATTTCAAAGACAGCTTACCGTGAGCTATAAATTTCAAATTTATTCAAGTCCTACAACAACTTGCTTGAAATTCAAATTAACTGTCGTAATGAATTAGGACACAATTGTGATTAGTCGGAACTAGCATGTGATAAGTTGGAATGTGAATGTGACAGGTTGGAACATGAATGTGATAATCTAACAAGGTCCGGGTTGAGAAAGAATGACTCTTACATGTCAAGAAAGTAAGTCAATAATGAAGGTATATAAATACAGTAGGTAGATCACTAAGATGTATATTAGCTATCCATATATAAAGGTTGCTATTTAGAAATAATAAATTAAGTTGTATTCTAAGCTAAAAGGTGACACACACTAGAGGGTTTGGCATACAACATTAACATCAACCAAAAAATGGGCACGTGGCGTAGTTGGTAGCGCGCCTGCCTTGCAAGCAGGAGGTCACTGGTTCGATTCCTGTCGTGTCCATATTTTTCATTCTCAAAATTTGAGTTACACTAGCTTGTATAATAACAACATCTTAGAGAACTCAATAATTTTTTTTTTGATTCTCTAGCATGATCCATTAATCACTAAATTAATCCTAGAATATTTAAATAAATTTTTTAAGCCCAGAAGAATGAAAATAACATTCTCTAATAAACAATTAATTTGGAAAGAATCCTTTTATGATAATCCAAAAAAAAGCAAAGAGTATATTATTCTTCCAAAATTAGTAATTGCATAATTAGATTTTAATGTCATCACAAGTACCTAAAGACCTAATTAGTTTATAGTTTATTCTATTATCATATGGCTGATTTTTAATATGTACTCTAAACGGCATAATTATTAAATAGAATCCTATACCAAAATACGTATCATTAATTATGTCAATGATAATGGCAAAAAGAATAATTAAATGAAGTGAATTGGATGGACAAATATTTTTAAGAAGAATTGGAAAGGCTGAGTACGCAATAGTAACAATAGAATTGTATCCGATTTGCGTACTAAGCTGTAAATTTATGTGATTGACGCTTGCATAGGACGGCGGTAGTTCTATCTCTTCGTACAATGGTCAAACTAATTAATGTAAGAGTAATCATTATGTGATAATAAAACTAATAAAACTGATATTAGAAGAAAGGTAAATCGCTAAACGAAAAGTTCAATTAAGTAAGAAAAGGAACCTAGAATTACTGATTTCATCAGGGTATTATTGCCTAACAAGAGGAATTTCGGTTGGTACATGCATTGTTTGGAACCGAAGAACAAGAAATAATAATTAAATCTCTAAACGGTTGTCTTGCTTT